CCACCAGGGTTAGCTCAGCCGGTGCCTGGCGCCTCACCCGCATAACCATCCCTTCTCTCACTTTTTCTTTGCAGCCCAGTCATCTCAGGATCCCGCTAACCTTTTCTCCCTCCCACCACCGCCTCCTCCTCCGCTTCCCGCTGGAGGTCCTGCCTCATCTTCATCTACCTCTTCTTCCTCCTGGATCTCATCTGCACCCTGCCTCTTCCCTCTCTGCTCCTGTCCCGGTTTTCTCTCTGCCTGCTCACACCTCCATCCCGGGGCTGCCCTGGTCCCAGCCTCCCGCGCCCTCCACCCAGGTGCCCTGGTCCTGCATCCCGGAGCATCCTGCCTGCTGTCTCCCGCACCCCTTCCGGCACCTCCCGCCTCCCGGCCCAGGGACGAGGGACGCAGCTGTCCCTCCTCCGTGCCTGCCAACCCCACCGGGCACCTCTGAGGCTGCCGCCCGACCCGGCGCCTCACCTCCTCGCTGCCTCCTCACGTTTCCTCCTTACAGGCTCCCGTCTGCACCCCTCAGACCTGAGGCTGCCCTGCAGGGAGGGCTTCTCCTCGGCCCTCGCCCTCCCCCAGAGCTTCGGTCCCTGGTCTGTGGCTGGGCAGAGCTGGAGGGTGGGGCGGGAGCCAGGAGGGTGCTCATCTCTCCTTCCTTGGACTGGAGCTGAATTTCCGGCTGATTCCCTCTCCTCACCAAAGTTTCTCAGCCTGTCTTGGCCTTGGGTGTGAGGCTCTGAGAGGAGCAAGTTCCGGGGGCAGAAACTCTTCCCACCTGCCCCTCAGCACCAGAGCCAGGCTGGGGACGACGGGAGGGAAACTGAAGCCAGACGCCCTGGCCTCACCCCTGCACGTCCAGAGCTCCTGCATCACAGCCTCACGGCACTAGGTTCCCTGGTTCTGGGGGTGGATTCCCTTGGCCTAAAAGGAGTCAGCCAGAGCTGGCTGAAGATCACGGTGTGGCAGAAAAAGCACTGGCCTGTTGCCCACAAGCCCCCACTCAATCTTATCCACCTGCTGTGTGACCTTGGGCAAGTCACTGTCCCTCTCTGGGCAACAGTTGCCTCTCAAATGAGGACAGACAGCTGCTCTCTGTGACCTTTTGCCTGAGACAGCAGTGATCTGCCTCTCTTGGCCTTGACCCCCTGGCCAGAGTCTTGCCAGAATCTGGCCCTTAAGCGGCCACCTCCCAGCCCAGGATGGGGCGTGGGGCTCCCAGACCGGCGAGCTGGGTCCCCTCCTGCTCCCTCTTCTCGGCTCTGAATCCACCTTCTCTGGGCCTCCCAGAAGGGACCCTGTGACTCACCTACCTCTTTCTCTCTCCCTCTCTCCCCTCCCTCCCTCCATTTCAATCTCCTCTCTGCCCTCCTCCTGGCCCTGCACCACCCCCTCCTCACTTGCCCCACCCTCTCCCCCCCCCCCCCCCCCCCCCGTGTTCTGACCGCCCCCACCCCATCCTCCTGCCCTCCCATTTTATTTTCTAGCTGTTACAAGCCAGAGGCACCCGGATGTGAGGCCCCAGATCACCTCCAGGGAGTTGGGGTTCCCATCTGAAATTCGTTATTTTTGTACCACGGGCTGGGCCCCCGGCCCAAGGTGGAGGAAGCGCTCTCCCCGCTGCCACCTCTGTCTACACCTGCAGGGCTGTGATTTACCCCTGAGGTGGGCCCTGGGACCCCTGGGCAGAGCCGCCTGCCAGTGGCCAAAGCGTGGCGCTGTCCAGCTGTGTCTCCCAGGCCCCTGCATCCCTTCCCCCGGGGCCTCCAGCTGCATGGCAGATAGGCTGCCTCCAGGCCCAGTCACATTACCTCCCGGAGCCTCAGTCTCCCCGTCTGTCCAGTGGGTTCCCTCTTCCCGCCCCGCCTACCTCACAGGGTTGTTGTGAGGTTGCAAAGAGGAGTGGGGTCCCAGAAAGCCCTTGGGGAGCAGGGCGCCAGACACAGGGTGGCCCCCGTCACCCTGCCCTGGGAGGGGGATGGCCCTCCTTAGCCCTCGATGGAGGTTCAGGTATTGGTGAGGGATGGAGGGGTGGGACTCAGCCTTCACCTTGACTGCTCCCCCCCTTCTGTCCTGCGGGATGCGGGTGAGGAATGTCTTGGCCAGGAGGGGGCAGGCAGTGGCTCAGCAGGGCCAGTGGGGCCACCTAGGAACCTGTGATAAGGGAAAGGGGGACACTCCTCCCTCTGCCCAGGGGAGAGCCTGGGGCGCAGGGGCGGAGCGAGGGGCCCTTCCCGCGTCTGTGACTTCCCCGGGCTGGGTTCTTGCTCCTCAGCTGTGTCCGACCCACCACATAATAAAACCTGAAGGAACAGCCCCCCGCTGCCTCCCTCTCCTTCTCTGGGCCACTGTTGGGGACAGGGCTAAACTCAAGGTCGGGGAGACGACTCAAAGGTAATGGGGCTTTTTCCTAAAGCTAGGGGGCCCTGTCCTGTTGTCACTCTCCTGTGTATGCTGGGGGCAGGTGACCACGGCTGGATCCGTGGCCCAGTGGCCAGACACTGACGACACCAACTCCGCCTTGTTGGGGGAAGTTGGCAAGTGCCTGCCCCTCTCTGGGCCTCAGTTTCCTCATCTATAACGTGAGAGGTTGGACCAGGTGACTTGTAAGGCCCAGCCCCCTGGAGTCAGGCAGACCCCTCCCTCTAGGTGGCCCTAGCCAGCTGGGGTCTCTGAGGGCTAGGAAATTGGGCTCCCGGAATCAGGAGACCAGGTCCTCCAAGCCTGGTTCCCTGTCCCCCCACTTCCCAGCCTCACTGCACCATCCAGTGGCGCTCTGCTCACGGCCCAAGGCGGCCTGTGCTCCATCCTGATCCCCCAGGATGCCCCCTCTTCCCGCCATGACACCTGTTGGTCACCTCCACCCCTCCCTGCTGGTCCACCGTCTGCCCCAAGGCCCAGGAAGTACACACACCCAGGCTCCCGCTCCAGCCAGCTTCCTCCACCTCCCTCGCCCGCCCTGCTGAGTTTCTACCTTGTTCCCTCCGCCCCCAGCAACTCAGCACTGCTGGGACGTTCCTGCAAAGCACGACCCCCTAGGACCAGGCCCTCCCGCCCCCCTCAGTCTGGGGGCCCTCGCCAGCCACTTCCCCTCGGGACTGAAGCTGACCTCACTTTGTGTTCAGCTCAGCTTGCAGAGTCACCAGGGGGCTTGTTAAAGGAACAGACTACCCATCCCCCCCCCACACACACACAACTCTGACAAATGAAGGCTGGAGCAGGGCTGTGAATCTGCATTTCAGCAAAGCCCCCATCACTGTGTTCTACTCGCCCCTCTGAGGACTGTGAGGGCCACTGGGGTGCAATGCTTTAACATCCCACCCCCACCCAAAGGTGCCCCCACAGCATCTGCTCCATATCCACCAGCAGGCAGGCCCCTGCGGGTGGGGAGTGTGCTCCCTGGGCTCAGCTCCCCCACTGCCTGCCAGAGGCTGCTCCCTCCACCCGCGGACTGAGTAGCTGAAACCCCCGAGTCTAGGTCCCCTCTGAGGCTCCCCTTTCCTTCTCACAGCTGGGCTTCAAGAAAGACTTGTCCACACCTAGCTCCTCCACCACTGCGCCCAGAGGGCACCAGCCGCCTAGGGTCCTCCCCGACCAGCCCCACTTGGCCCCAGCCTCCATTGGAAGTCTGCACCCCTCTCAGATCCCGTCCAGCCTGTGGCGACGCCCATCAGCTCCCACTCTGGGCCCCCATGTCTGAGGTGTCTGAATCTCCCCTGCTCAGCCTTCCCAGACTGCCTTCCATGGTTGGGGGCTCCAAAACCCCTCCTCCAAGCCTGCCTTGCAAGCTCTGCCCGCCTCCTGGACATCTCCCTCCCAGAGGCACCCCAAGCACACGCACGACACCTGCTCAGAGCCCTTCCCTCCCCGCATGCACCAGGACAGGCAAGGGGTCCCCCACCAGCCCAGCTGCTCAGGCCAGAACCCCCAGGAGTGGACCGGGGTGACTCCTCCTCACCCACCCCCATCCACTGAGGCACCTGGAGGGCAGTGAGGGTCCTTCCACCCTGAACAAACCCCCAGTCTGTCCCCACTGCCCCGCTCGGTCCAGCACCCTTCCCTCCCCCCATCCTGTCCTCTGCAGCAGCCTTCGAAGCAGCCTCCCCGTCTTCCGCCCCCTCCGCACTGGTGCCAGTGGGGGTTCTAAAATGTGAGTCCCCTCCCGTGTCACTCCTCTGCTATAGAGCCTTCTGTGGCTCCCCAGAGCACTCAGGGTCTAGCCCTTGGCTCAACTCCAAGCTCTTTGTCTTCTGATCTCAGCTGCCCCGCGAATTCCTCTTCAGTCCTCCCCTCTCCATCTCTGTTCTAACTAAACAGACGGCTTACTGTTCCCTCATATGCTATGTTGTTTGGGGACTTCATGCCTTTGCACATGCTGTTCTCCTGCCTGGAATGCCCTTCCCCACCTTGGCCACCTTTGAACCCCAACTCAAGTCTCACCTCCTCCAGGCAGCCTTCCCTGTCTTCCTGAGTTACAGGCTACCCCAAAGCCCCTTCATGCTGGATCGTCAGTCCCCTCCAGGGGTCAGGAGCCAAGTTCTGTGCCTCTCTGTGGCCCCAGCACCATTCTTGGCACATCGAAGAGCCTATGAGCTGCGTGCTGAATAAAAGACTCAGAGCATGCGGAGGGAGTGTCGTGGTGGAGGGGAAGCGGGGGACTGGGAACCAGAAGGCAGGGCTTCCGCGCAGACCCCACTCCTAACCCCTGGTGCCATCGCCAGGGCATCTCTGCCCTCTCTCCGCCTCAGTTTCCTCCCCAGCTTCCGGAAAGAGCCCATCACTTGTCCCATCCCTCACTGTGACCTGAGGGCCACCAAACCATCGCCTTCCTGGGGTTGCCCCTGGGACCTGGGCAGCTGCCCTGGAGGCCACCCCTGTCCCCCGCTCCCCACACCCTGAGCCCACCTTGGCCTTCTGGACACTTGGCGAGCAGGCTGAGCAGGAAGCAGAGGCTGCTCAGTCCGGGGCGTGGGGCTGGTGCCCGGGACCCCACGAACACCCCAGAACAGGGCCTTTGGTCAGCTGGCTTTATTCCACAGGCAGCTGGGCGAGAGCAGGCAGTGAAGGCCCAAGCGGGGTGGGCAGGGGGCGAGGGGCAGGTAGGGGTGGGGCGGGACCCTGGCCCAGGCTCCCCCACCCTTTGGCTTACGGTGGCAGCTGGCCCACTTGGTTGTCTCCAGGGCTCTGAGGGCCCCTCCCCGCGGGCTCCTTCCATGCCTGCCCCTCACGTCAGGCAGGGCTCACGGGATGGAATCTGCTCCGGAGCCGATGCTGCCCAGGGCGGGCAGCTGTGCTCAGACACTCCTGCTGGGACCTAGAAGCTGGATTATCACCCCTGAACTATTACCCCCTAAAGTCAGCAATGGACGAAGGGGATGGAGGAGAGAGAATCGATCGGGAGGTAACAGGGCTGAATGGGAGGCCCCCAGCTTGGCCTGGTGACCGTCCCAGGCCCTCAGGGGAAGTCTTGACCACCAGCTGCTGGCCCTCCTCTCTCCGGTGCCCTCCATGGGGCAGATGTCTGGGAGCAGGTTATGGGAGGGGATGCTTGCTCCTGCCTCCACAGGGCCCTGCCGCCCCCAGAATACGTGCTCCCCCGCCTGGTGCTTGCCCTGAGATCTCTGAGTCCAAGAGCGGGGCCCAGCTCTGCAGGGGGCAGTCCTCAGGTCAGCACCTGCTGGATCCAGCCAATTACCCCCGTGATGCGGGTGTAGACGCCGAAGTAGTTGGGCCGGCCGCAGCCCAGGCCCCAGCTGACCAGCCCTGCCAGGAACCAGCGGCCACTGGGCTCCCTGCACACCAGCGGCCCACCGGAGTCACCCTGAAGCGGGGAGAGGAGAGACAGGACCACATCAGGGTGAGGGCACCCCCTTCCAGGCAGGGGTCCTGACTGCTGGAGATCTTCTGAGTGACAGCAAGAAAGTCACAGCTCCTTTTGAAGCTGCTGCTTCCCCACAGCTGATAAATGGAGAGAGCTCAAACCAGCCCAGCCTGGCCTCCAGTGGGTCCTGGCTGCTGTGGGACCTTGGATGTGTGCCCCATGCCCCACCCACCTCCGCCTCCCACTGTGCGCTCCTTCTAGTCCTCTCTGCTGTGTGACCTTGCGAGGAACAGAACCGAGTCTGAGAACGGGTCTCTTCTGATCCACGGCCTGCGAGCCGGGGCACGTCCCTCCCCCTCCCCGAGCCTCAGTGTCCTCGTCTGTAAAGTGGGAACAGCCATCCCCACCTGGCTGGGAGGTGATGTGCAGGCTGACGCGAGCAGAGGGCCAGGCCCCCGGAGGTGTGAGCATCGCCCGCTCGCCCTCCCCGCACCCCCCACAGGCTCACCTGGCAGGCGTCCTTCTTGCCCTTGCGGTAGCCAGCACACAGCATGCGGGGCGTCACCCGGTAGCGGTAGGCCTCGCTGCACAGGTCCTGCGGGATCAGCTGCACGTCCACCTTCTGTAGACCATTGCTGGTGGGGCCTGCCCGGTGGGGTCGGGGGCAAAGGGCAGAGGTGAGAAGATCTGAGGCGGCCCAGGAAGTCCCCCCTTCCTTCTGTTATGCCCCTTGCCACCCAGGAGCCCCCCTCCATCTCTCCTGCTCTGCCCACCCGTGCCGCTCAGCTTCACTGACACTGTTCTGGCTCCTTCTCTGCTCATGCGGACAGAGCCCCCCACAAAGCCATTCTGCAGTAGTGTTCTCCTCCAGCTTCTCCCCCTTCCCTCCTCCTGCCTGAGGCCTCTTGGCCACCTCCCCTCTGCTCTGTGACAGCCCCGTCGGGGGGGCGGTCCAGAGCACACATCTGACCCCTCCACTCTCTCCCTAAACTCATCAGTGTCTCCCCACTGTCCAGCCCAGTGCTTCTCCACGAAGGCTGCGTGTTGAGCCCCCGGGGAGCTTCAGCATGTGCCGTGCCTGGTCCCACCAGAGATCTGGTCTGTTCGGCTGGGAGGGGACGGCACTGCTTTTCTCGAGGCCCCCCCGATGGTTTAAAGTGCAGAATGAGAAGCGGACTCCTGACTCCAGATCCTCAGGGTGGCCTGCGAGGCCCTGCCCATCCTCACGCAGAGCCCCTTGCCCTGGCTCCCCTGGTGCTGGTGTCCTCGGGCTCCCTGGGTTGTCATCTGTGCCCTTACCAGGAACACCTTTCCCCTCCACGGGATGCTGCGGACATCTCCAAGCCTTGCCTTAGCCCACCCCTCCCCTGGAACCCTCTTGACCCGCCTGGGTGGGCACCTCCTTCGGGCTGCCATCCCCTGCACCTCCCCATCCATGTCAGTTCTTAGGACTGTCTGTCTCCCCTAGAATGTTCTCTTTCCATCTCTGTATCCCCTTTGCCCAATTTGATGCCTGGCCTAGAGTAGGTGCTCATAAATGTGTCGCTGAATGAATGAATGAATGGATGAGTGAGTGAACCATTACTTGCTTTACCTCTATTCTCCATCCTGCTCTTGGACAAGTCACTCTGCCCCCGAGCCTCAGTTTCCCCATCTTCACATTATCTCCACAGTCCTGCCTGCCCCAGATTGTGAAACACTGTACAGAGTTTTAAAGCCGCCACCATGAAGGGTGCAGGGCGTGGCTACAGTTAGGCCAGCCCAGCCTGTGTTCACAGGACTGAGACGAGGCCTCTAGAGACGGGTCAGTTTAGGTGGGAAGGGGAGAAACTCCCCATTTCTGAGAGGCTGAAGCAGGAACAGCAGGGGCTCTGGGGCCAGGGAGTCCTGGGTTCCAGTCTCTGCTCTAACTCTCTCTGGCTGTGTGACTTTGAGCAACTGCTAAATGTCTCTGAGCCTCAGTTTCCCCATCCATACAATGAGGCCATAATGCCCACTCCTAGGATTATTGGGTGGATTAAATGAAGTCATGTTCTCCCAAAACCCAACCTCGAGGTAGCAGTGTTAATAATTAAGAGCCTCACACACACACACACACACGCTGTCCAAGGAGCAGAGGGTTAGAGCTTGCTTCTGGGCTGTGGGGTCCCTGGCCGGCCCCTTCACCCCACACACATCCCCCCACATAAGCTCCCATGACCTCGGTTCTCCTTAAATGCCAGTCCAGAAGGAAGGGAAGGGCCAGGAGGCAGAGGCCCACAGCCATAGTCAAAGTGGTTTTCTTTTGTGAGATCCAGCCCAATTTAATCCCAGGACTAGAGGGCCTGGGGGGTGGAGCCCCGGGGCCCCTTGCTGTGCATGCCGCCCCCCAGGCCCGGATGTTGCAGGAGGCAGCCTGCACCCATCTCCCCGCTCACCGCCCTCGCGCAGGGCGCCCCAGCCCGTGATCCAGCAGTGCAGGCCAGGCTCGAAGAAGTGGGAGCGCGCAGGCAGGCAGACGGGGTGCACGGCGGCCGAGCGCACCACCGGGTGGTCGAGCTGCAGCAGGGCCACGTCGTAGTCGTGGCTGTCCTCCTCGTGGTACGGGTGCAGGACCAGGCGGCTCACCTTGAAGGATACCTCGCCCGGCCAGCGTGAGCTCTGCCACACCTTGCCCAGGAACACCGTCCACAGCGCCGGGGAGGCCATGCTGGGGGCCGGGAGGGTGTCCTCGCTCAGCAGCTGCCTCTCCCATCCCAGACCCTTAGGCTAACCAGCTTCCCCACCTGGGACACCGTCCTCCACCCCCATCCCTTCCCTGCTCTGGTGGGGGTTACAGTGTTCGCCCTGGAGTGTGCCTGACCCCCAGCTTCATCCCTCCCCAGAGATGTGTCTGCCTCTCCAGGCCTCAGTTTCCTCATCTGTGAAATGGGAGTAGCATCTTACATCCATACGTTCCTGGGGAAATTCAGTAAGTCTGTGGATGTAAAAACCTTAGCACAGCACCAGCACCAGACAACATTTCCCTCCTTTTCATCTGTGCACTTTATGGACAGCGTGCCGTGTGCTCGCTGAGGCTTGTTGGTCCTCACCAGGAGGGGGTGGGAGTCGAGCGGGAGGAATCGGCAGAGACTGGGCAGCACAGACCCCTGGATGCCAGGTCAGCGTCCAGGTCTGTCTTTACCTTGTGGGCAGTGGGGACCCAGGGATGGAGTGAAAGGCTGAGGTGGTCAGACTGTACCCAGGAAGTGCACCCGGGCACCCAGGCAGAGGCTGCAAAAGGGAGCTGGGCTCTGTGCTGCCCCGGGTGACCCAGGGCGACAGGGGCACTGGGGACGGGCAGTGGCCGAGGGCTATCTGGAGCACTGAGAGGATTCGCTGCCTGGCTCTGGATGTCAGGGGAGGAGGAGGGGGCGCCCCAGGGGCTCCTGGCCTTTGGCTGGGGACTGTGTAGGCCCAGAGTGGAGGAGGAGATGTGGGGAGAGGAGTCCAGGGCTGACCGCGCTGGGGGTGGGGTCTGGGGGCCCAGAAGATCGGGCTGGGGGTGCAGATGGGGAGGATGTCTGTGGGGCTGGGTGAGATGTCCCCTCTTAGAGGCTTCCCAGGCCCCACCCCCCAGGTCACAGGCACACCTAGGGGATGACGGGGTCATGGCCTATGACCAGGTCAGGCAGTTCTGCTCCGTGCTGTACCCCAGTGTCCAGCATAGCCCCTGGCACGTAGCAGGAGCACAACAAATATTGCTGAATGGGTAGGTGAATGAATGAGTGAGTGAATGAATGAATGAATCACTGACTCGGCTTAAAGCAAGATACCAAAAGTAAAGCACAGAGAGGTTGAGCAACCAGTCCAGGCGGAGCCAGGACTGAACCCAAGCGTCGGAACAGCCAGTCTGGGGGCCTCTCACCACCCTTCCCTCTGTCAGCTTAGACCTGGGACACTGTACCTCCCTGCCACGGCCTTTCCTCCCCACTGCCATGGTCTCGGTCCCCATTCCCTGCCTCACCTGTCCTCCTGGAAGCAGTGGGCAGCGGTTATCACCCAGCGGTCAGCGATAAGGGCTCCCCCACAGATGTGGCGGCCCCGAACCTGGAGGCTGGCCTGCCACGGCCACTCCCCCTCCGATGACACAGCCCCACCCACGATGCGGCCAGAGGGGCCCTGGAGGCCACAGTCTAGGGGCAGGGGCAGGGATGGACAGAGGGAGAGGGGCAGGAGCAAGGCCAGTGAGAAACAGAGACAGAGAGAGCACAGAGTAGAGGAAGAGCACAAGAAAGAGACAGGGGGAGATGGGGAAAGAGAAGGAAGGAGAGGGGAGGAAGAGATGAGGGGGCAGAGGTGGGACAGAGATGGACAGAGACAAACAGACGGACAAACGGTGAGATCTCCCTCCAGCTTCCCGGTGTGGGCACCTCCCTCCCACCCACACTCTAGGGTCCAGCAGGTGCAGGGTCTTCTGCCCACCCCACGCTGTCAGAGCCCTCGGCAGCTGGGCAGGGCAGGCTCACCACAGTGCTGCTCGTCCGAGCCGTCCCTGCAATCGGGCTGCCCATCACACTGTGGGTTGGGTTTCTTCACGCAGCTGCGGTCCTCACACTGGAAGGTGAATGTCCCACAAGGCACCCCTGGGATAGGGCAGGGCACAGAGGGTGGGTCCCTGAGCCTGAGAGAGCCTCCAAAACAAGCCTCAGGGAAGATGGACCAAGGAAGAGGCCAGGAGGTGGGTGGGGAGGGGTCTCTTGACCACACTGAAGGGGCCCCTGGGGCTCCTTTAGGGTCCCCTAAAGTCAGGCCATGCCTCTCCCCACCCCCTGCCCCCTCAGACTGGTCTGTTGAGATGAGGCTGTCTCCCCTCTCAGACTGGGTCTCCTGACCACAGGGTCATGCCTCCCCCCCCCAGGTTGGTAACTGAAGGCAAAACTGTGCCTCCCCTTTCAGACTAGGCTCCCAAGAGCAGGGCTGTGTCTCTCCCGTCAGACTAAGGTTCCCACTTAGACTGGCAGACCTGCAGGCCCTGGCCCCGCCGGCTGCCCACCTGCTCCTCACTGTCTTCACCGTGAAGAACTTTCTGTTCCACCACCTGCTCTTCGCCTGGTCTCCATTCCTCCTGCCTATTTAAATTTACCTCTCTTCAAGGTCCAGTTCAGAGCCTGCCTCCTCTAGGAAGCTTTCCTGCCTGATCTCCTCCCTGCCCTCTGGTCCTCCCAAACTACTGGACATGATGCCCAGAAGGCTTTGGGCCAGGAACTCATGTCTTCCTACTAACAGATAATCCCCAGAGGGTAGGGACCACATCTCGGGCGTCTTTTATTCCCACTTCCTAACTCTGTCTGCCTGTCACTGGGGAATCTACAAGCATTGGTTGGTTGGTCATTCGGAAGGATGACGGATGGATGGATAAAACAATGGACATAGACGGGAGATTGGGCAGACCAACGAATGGGTGGATTGATGGTCCTGTAGGGAGACTGACAAACAGCTAGAAGGAGGGATAAATGAGTGGATGCAAGGACCAATGGACAAACAGGTAGTTAGAGAGGTCGGTGAATGGATGCATGCATACCTGCATTCATGGATGGAGGATGGAACAATGGACACACAGACAGCTAGTTGGGTAAACCAATAAATGGGTAGGTTGGCAGTTCAGTGGAAAGGGAGGTGGGTGATTGGACAGGCTGATGGATGGATGAATGAGTGGATGTATGAATCAGTGGACAGACAGGGTGGTTGGAGAGACAAGACGATGGAAGGATGGACGGATGGACGGATGGATGGATGGACGGACGGATTGACATATAGGTGTACATACAGATGGGCTGGTGTTTGGACAAGAGGGCAGAAACTTTTGCAAAGAAGCACACAGAAGAGCTGGACTATCTGAGCCCATTCTTTGGTTTTCCCCTAGCTACCTGGTCATACCCGGTCCTACCTTCCTGGCACTGCTCTTCGTCACTCCCATTGAGACAGTCAGGCTGCTGGTCACAGACCCTGGACAGTGAGACGCATGTGCTGTCCTCTTGGCACTGGAATGTGGCTCTGCACACTGTGTGGGGACACAGAGAGGGGGCAGGTGGGAGGAAGCCAGAGGAACCAGGCTGGGACTTGGAGCGCCTGTGGAACATGTATTATACCACTCGTCACAACCACAAATGTCTTTCTCAGCTACTTTACACCTGAGTTTCACAGCAATCCTCTGAGATACCCCATTTCATTGGTGGAAACAGAAATAAAGTGATTTGTCCAAGGTCACCTGGGTGAGCCAGAACCTGAAGCCAGAGGTTCTGGTTCCAGATACGAGGCACCTTCCTGAGCAGGAAGGCAGGGTCATCCCAGAGGCGGCCTACCTCCCTCCCCTCCTGCTTCTCTCCCCATATATTTAAAACTTTGATGGAATGGCAGAAGGGGGAGGCGTGGGGAGATCAGACCAGAATAGCCAGCCCTGATGGTGACTCTGGAGCCAGCAGCCAGGATCCAGAGGGAGAGGTATTATTCCAAGAGAGCCCTGGCTTGGGGACCACCAGGACCCGGAGCCCCTTTGCCAGGGCTGGGCAGTGGACAGCACAATTCCAGTGGGAGTTGGCACCTCCTGTCTGAAGACCTGAGGTAGATGAGTGAGCCCCACTCAAGGGAGGGAAATAAAGGGTTCTGTCCTTGCTTAACAGTTGCCCTTCCAGGTCCTACCCTCATCCTTATTGGATGTTCCCTCCAGGACAGCCGGCCAGGACAGAAGCCTGGGAGGAGATGGCCTGATGAGGAGAAGCCCTGAGCTGGGAGTCAGGAGTCCTGACTCCCAGCTTGTCCCTGCCACTGCCGCATGGGTGGCCCTGGGGAGGCCACTTTCCCACTCTGGGCTTCCAGCTTGCCATCTCAGTGCAGGGAGAGCCCCACTTCCTGGAGGCTAATGACGAGAACTGCACGTGGAGGGGCTCTAGTCAAAGGGTGGGCTCTGCTCAGATCAGAGAAGGAGAGACAGAGGAGGCACGGGCCAGGCGGGCCGCTCACCGCAGTTTCGCTCGTCCAGGCCGTTGGGGCAGTCCTTGACGCCGTCGCAGGCGGGCACACAGAGGCCGTTCACAGAGCAGAGGAACTCTCCAGGGCAGGCTGGACAGGGAGGATGCCATTAGGACATGCGCCATCATGAAAATGCATGCAGACGAGCCCTCCCCCCGTGTGCTCACACGTGAACCCACATGTACACGCACACATCTGTATACATGGTCTGTGTGGGCATACGTGTCCAGGCATGTGCACGCAGCACACGCACAGGTGTGTATACCCAGGGAACACACATGACTGCCTTGTACATGTGGACACACACAAAGCTGCATACATCTGTGCCCGTGCTCATATGTACATGCACACACACACACACTCCTTTTGTGCAGCGTCTGGGTGCTTCCAGGGATGGCAAAGAGGCAGGGAGGGGCTGCGGGGCTCTGGGGTGCCGCCCTGCCCCTGGCCTGCCCGCACTCACGGTCCGACTGGTTGTACAGGCTGTAGTGCACCTGCACGCCGGGCCCAGTGAGGGAGATCTGGGAGGTGAAGTTGATGGTGACACCGGCAGTGGCCACCACTGGGATCCTCTCGGCGTAGGGCTGCAGGGTACGCAGGCCACACAGCCTAGGGGTGAGCAGAGACAAACTCAGCGCGACACAGGCTGGCCCAAGGGAAGGGATAGTGCACAGACAGGGCAAGGACAGCGCAGCCGGAGAGGAAGGGAGAGACACACCCCCACCTCCTCTGTCTTGATTTCTCCCTTGGGTGACTGCTCACCCCCAGAGTCATCTTCTAGAAAGCAGCCTGGCTATGTCACTGCCCTGCCCCAAAACCTTCAATGGCTCCCCACTGCCTGCAGGATAAAATTCAAAGTCTGGATTCGAGTGGCAGTCACCTAGGAGCTGTGAGATTCTAGCAAGTCAGAGTCCTCCGCTGAGCCTCAGTTTCCTCCCTTATAAAATAAGGGAGCACCTCATGTCTGTTGACTTGACAAAAGCCTTCAATGTGTCAGCAGCGGCAAAGTCCTTGATGGGTCTCCTCTCTGTAGACAGAGAGGACAGTCCCCTTGTGCTCGGTGTAGGGTGAGAAGGCAACCGTGCCCCATTCAGGCACTGTCCCTCCCACTGAGAAGCCTCCACAGCCCTGGTGGTGTCCCTGTGACTCTCTGGGCATGAGGGAGGCCCCAGTCCCACTCCCAGGACCAGTAGCGCAGTGCTGATGGGCAGCACCTTCTCCGTGTACAGCCACACCCGGGGGGGCTATCCCCCAACCACGGGAGCATCCCCCTACCCTGGGAGCATCCCACAACCATGGGAGCATCCCACAACCATGGGAGTGCCTCCCAACCAAGGGAGCACCCCCCAACCATGGGAGCATCACCCAACCATGGGAGCATTCCTCAACCAAGGGAGCATTCCCCAACCATGGGCACATCCCCCAACCCTGGGAACATCCTCCAACCATGGGAGCACCCCACAACCATGGGACACCCCCCCCACCAAGGGAGCATCCCCCAACCGTGGGAGCATCCCGCAACTGTGGGAGCATCCCCCAACCCTGGGAGCATCCCCCAACCATGGGAGCATCCCCCAACTGTGGGAGCACCCTCACATCCCTGCTGGACTCCTCCTCCCCTGATGCTCTTGTTCCCACAGAGCAGGTAGGAGAAGCCCCACAGAGAGGCAGACTTCTCCCCAGAGACCAGGTAGGAATCCTCCCATCTCCAGGGTCAGTGTCACGTGGGGCTCATCCCACAAGGTGTCTGGTCATCCGTCACCTCACAGAGGAAGTGGGCATGCATGCTTTCACAGAGCGGGAGCAATCACTCCCCCAGAGTGGGGACCCTCCTCAGAAAGCAGCGGGGGTTCCCTCCCTTCCCAGGTGGGACACCATCACAGAACAGATGGGTGGGTCCATCAGCTTGTAGGAATGCCCCCCACAGGGAAGGGAGTACCCCCACAGACCAAACAGGAATGCCTTTGCAGATGAGGGAAACACACCCAGAACACGGGTTGAAAGCTCCCCAGAGAGAAGTGGAAGTACTCTGGCAGAGAAGGTGGGAGCAAGTCAAGAGATCAGGTGCAAATGCCCCAAAGCATGATGGGAACAGCCCACAGGGTAGGTCGCCTAATTCCCAGTGGCAAGGTCCTTCCTCAGAACTTCTAGAACATGGCCAGCACTTACAGCTCAATTAACTAATGAAGGAGTTGATCAATGAACAACTGAGGAAGGCTTATGAGTTGTTTTAACATCCCAAGGTGCAGGGCTGGGGCTGGCCACTGTCGGGCCTTCTCGTCCGGCCCCTCCCTCATCGGCAGCAGCATGGCAATGGCCTCGCTGTACAGGGGTTTTGAGGTTCTTGCAGCAACTCCACCCTGTGAGGGAGGAATTGTCCTCATCCCATTTTCCAGATGAGGCTCCTGAAGGGAAGTGCCAAGCGGGGCCAGAATCCAGCCTCCTCAGGACCCAGGGGAGCCCACCCAGCCTGCTCTGGGGGGAGGTGGGCCCCTGACTCTCACTGCAACAGGAGCTCCAGGGGCTGAGCCCTCACGTCCTCCACATCCTACCACGGACCTGGCCTATGGTACAGACTCCCTATGAGTACTGTCTGGCCTCAGTGACCTTATTCTTGCCCCATACCAACAAACAGTTCTCAAAGCACGGTCTGGAGACCTCGAGGGTCCAAAGTAGAAATTATTTTCATAATAATGCCAGATATCATTTGCCCTTTTTCACTTTCCTAAGGATACAGTGGAATTTTCCAGAAACTACGGGATGTGTGATATGTAACCAAGTGAATGTGGAAGCGGATGGGGGGGATGCAGTTGTGGCCTATTACTAATCTAGTTATTAAAGAAAGTTGAAAAAATGTGAAAAATGGTATTTTTCTCACCAAATGTTTTTAGTTTTTGAAACTATAATTTTTCATAAAATGTTGTTTATGTTAAAATGTAATGGGTTTATTATTATTTTAAGTGAATTGATAAATATTTTTAAATTTTCTCTCTTTTAATTTCTGGTATTGTAAATTTAGAGTATATAACCTATTAAAAGCTCTTTGGGGTGCTCGACAATTTTGAAGAGTGTAAACGAGCCTGAGATGGAAAATTCTGAGAACCCGTGCTGTGCACACCATTCCCACAGCCACCCCCACCCCTGAACGAGGTGCCACCAGGGGGCGCCCCCGAGCAAGGCTGGCCCCTCATCCTTTTAAACCTAAGCAAAACAAGGGGGTTTGGTCGTTTGTTTGTTTTTAAAGTGGATAAAAAAGTGTTATCCTGGATTTTCATCCCCAGAGAATTGCCCTGGGGAGTGGAAAGGAGAATCAGGGGCTGGGAAATACTGCAAGGAAATGAAGAATCAAGTATATCCCGGAATATACCTGAGATTCAGGGATGTGAGGTGCCATCCCCACCCAGTCCAGGAGAGAGATGGAGACAGGCAAGGAGGCAGAACCGGGATGGAGGGGAGCAGGATGTTTCAATCCAGAAGAATTCGAGGGCTCGTGGTCACCCTGAGCCTTGGCCAGGGGCCCTAAGGTACCGACAGGGCGCTTTCTCCACTGGCATCCGAGAGGGAATTCCAGAATCAGCCCGTAGCTCAGCCTGGTACCCCAGGAGCCCGCCCAGCCTGGGCAGCATTTGGTTCTCGCCCTAGAGGTCTGGGGCAGGGGCAGGGTGGCAGAATCCCCGGGGCGAGGCTCTCCGTTCTTAGGGGCCAGACAAGACTTGGAGGCAGAGGCTGCAATCCAGTGACTCAGGCTGAGTCACTCAACTTAAAGATGATCTGTTTAGTCTATACAGTGTTAAAATTTTTCTTTTCAAGTTTAGTGCCAGTTAATTTCACATAATAATCTAGATTCTTGCTTTTCCTGAAAAATAAGCCCCAGAAACGCTGGCTAGAAGTAATCAGAGCCTGCTCGAATTAGGCAGGGCATGAGTGGCCCTGCTAACCAGGTCCCTACCTCTCCCACTCGCCCCCATGCAGCCTGCCTCATGGAACGACAGGGCAGCCTGGCTGCTTCACACGTCCGCGTTTCTGGGTCCTGCTGCAGAGCCTTCTGGGGGAGGGGATGCACGCTCTGCAAATGCCACGCTCTCCCCCACAGGCCCTCTCTGAGAAGCACCAGAAGTCTGAAGGCCATGGAGCCCACCTTTCATCTCAGCTACAAAGTGCTGGGGGTCTGAAGGTACATTTTTGGACTGTGTCCTGCCTGCCTTTCTCACCTCTCTGGATTTGGAGATTTTTCTTCTTGTCTCACCCAGATGGTAAGCAGAGACCCTGTCAACCTACTTGCGTATCAGCAACTCCACACAAGGAGGAATTCAAGAAAGATCAGATGAGTAGGTGGGTGGGTGGATGGATGGAAAGGTAGACGGGAGGGTGAGTGGACGGAAGGATAGATGGATGGATGAGCAGGTTGAAGGAAGGAAGGGTGGGCAGATGGATGGATAGAGAGAAGGATGGATGGATGGAAGGGTGGTTGGATGGAAGGGTAGATGGATGGATGGATGGGTAGACAGGTGGAAGGAAGAAGGATGAGTGAGTAGATGGATGGATGGATGGGTGGACAGGTGGAAGGAAGAAGGATGAGTGAGTAGATGGATGGATGGATGGGTGGACAGGTGGAAGGAAGAAGGATGAGTGAGTAGATGGATGGATGGATGGGTGGATGGATGGGTGCACGCATCCATTCCCCTCCCTAAGGACAGGTGAAATGGGAAGAAGGGTCAGAGAAGGCAAGCACCAAAGAAGGGAGGACGAGCTGACATGGTGCCAGAGCATTGGACGTGGAGCTGCAGCGCTGAGTCTGAGGTCTGGCTTTGCCACATGGACCAGCTGTGTGACCTTGGGCCTATGGCCCAACCTCAACAAGCTTCAATTTTCACATCTGTAAAATGGGGGTGATACTATCTCCCTCGTAGGGTCTTTTAAGGAATACATGAGACAATGACTTCTCTGAAAGCAAGCTGCTGTCGTTGTCAGGCTGTCGACTCGTCTAGGGCAGCACTGGGGCACTGCCTTCCGTATTGCCAGCACCCAGCACGGGGTCTGACACTCGCCAGTGCCCAGGAGGCTCTGTGGCTATAGGCAGTGCTGGCCGCCCGGGGGCTCAGGGGAGCAGAAGGGCCACCCCATAGCCAGGCCAGGCCAGAGGGGGCTCCAGCAGGCCTAAGGAGCCAGTAGTTTTGCCTGTTCCCATGGGCGGGAGGGAGGTGGAAATGGTTGGGCAGATGACAAGAAAAGTGACATCACAGGAGAGGAAGCTGGCGGGAGGCAGGTTCCCAGAAAGGGGGAAGCCTGAGCTGTGGTGACGCCCAGCCAGAGTGGTTCTGCGAAACCAAGCCGCTGGTGGCCAGATCTCATGAGGCCAAGTCCCTCCCAGCCTCCAGGCCACCCACAGGGCATGAGGCCTCAGCCAGGGTCAGGCGGGCACTGGGAGAAGCTGGGTAGAAACAGGGAGGTGGGGGGAAAGCAGAAAGGGCTCAGAGGAGTGAGGCGATGTGCCCAAGGATGCCCAGCCAGCGGAGGGAGCCCAGGCCAGCCTTTCCTCACCGCTCTGCTGGCACCTGAGGGGTAAGACGCCCTGTCCCCCGACCCACCCTCAGTTGTTGCTTGTCGTTGGCCATTCTGAGCCCAAAGACTGTGCCACCCCCTCCCTACAAACCCTGTGGCTGGAAATCTACGCCCTTCCCCGGACCTCTGTGTCTTTGCAGCCCACGCAGCAGATTTTCCAACAAATGCTCATTCAAAGAATTTCCCAGCAACTACATAGGATGATCATTATCAAAAAAGATCGTAACTAGAGGAAATGGTTTATCCCGTGCTTATAATTTGGAGGTACACCTCTGCCTTCCTTTCCACACTCAGACACGGGCGGGGGGCACAGGGGACATGAGACTCCACCTGGGGACCCTGGACCCTTAATGAAGATCTGAGAAGATGGAAATGGGACTTCCCAGGCTGCTCTCGGAACTGGCGAGAGCCGCAGAAGCTGTCGGTCCTCTCACCAGGAGGCCAAGGGATTGGTGGGGAGGGCCTTGGCCAAGAGAGTGAACAGCTGGCACGGCTGCTCAGAGGCTTTGCGTGAAAGAATCTGCATGAGTGTGAGCAGTGACGTGTGCATGCACACGTGCATGGACACACGCACACAGGCATGTGTATGTGCACCCACACACGTTCTGGATCAGACTGTCTTGCTCAACTCTGGCTTCTCCAGTTACGAGCTGGGTGACTTTGTGCAAATGACTTTACCTCTCTGTGCCTGAGGCTCCCCATTGGTCTGTGAAGGCAGTACAGGGGCCTGCTTCCTCACCAGGTTGTTGAGGAGGAAGGAAATGGCACGGCGAACCCCTTAGCTCGGTGCCTGCCCAGCACAGAGTGGAAAGCGAGTTATTAATGTTTGGCGCCTTCTGGAACTGCTCATTACCCAGGCCCATAGGAGCCAGTGTCCTCCACCCGTTATCTCATTGAGTCTTCCCTGGGCAGGGGGCTCTGTTTCAGGCCCATTTTCCAGATGAGTTACCTGAGGCTGGGCGTCCTTGTCTAGTAGGAAGGAGAGGAGGCAGGACTGGAACCCTGTTCGGTCTGGTTTCAACCCCTATGCTCTTTCCACCTCGCCAGCCCGATTTGGAAGGACATTTCTTTAGGAACTAATAAACACAACTTCCTGAGAGACGTCTTTCTGATGGGTAAACTATAAAAAGTTGGGGCCCTGGGCTGGCCTAACCTCCTTGTTGTGCAGACAAGGAAGGGGGTGTGCCCAGAGTTAACGCAAAACCAGGTGGCCAGACTCCCCTGCACACATCTGCAACCCCCCAGGAGGTGAGGGGAGGCTTGGGGAGAGAGACCCTGTCGGGCGTCACCCTCCCCACCCACCCACCAGCTGGCTGCACCCTGAAGTTCGTCCCCACCACTTCAAGGCAAAAAGACAAGGACAAGAGGCCAAGTCCTTGGCCCTCACTTGGCCTCAGTTTCCCCACCTGTACAACGGGTGAGAGTGGGGCTCGATGGCCCATCCAGCCCACACTTTCCATCCCTCTTTGGTGACACGGGAGGGAGAGCCCCCCCCCACCTCCGCTAGAATCTGTCACAGTGCCTGAAATTCCACCATTGCAGTCACATTCTTTTGGTTAAGACTCCCCGTCCACGGTCCTCATTTAAAACCCAAGGGTAGGGGCCAGCCCGGTGGTACAGTGGTTAAGTTCACACATTCTGTTTCAGCGGCCCGGGGTTCACGGGTTTGGATCCCAGGTGGGGATGTGCGCATCGCTTGGCAAGCCATGCTGTGGCTAGCGTCCCACATGTAAAGTGGAGGAAGATGGGCACAGATGTTGGCTCAGGTCCAGTCTTCCTCAGCAAAGAGAGGAGGATTGGTGGCAGATGTTAGCTCAGGGCTAATCTTCCTCAAAAAAGTGAAAACAAACCCCAAGGGTAGCTCATGACATTCCTAGGACCCAGTGCCCATACCTCTGCCCGACCCTCCCGGCTGACTCAGGGAGGGAGGAAGAAGGCTCTCCCTGGGGAGTGTCGTGTGGACCGTCCTGTGTCCTACCAGTCATGGCTGGTGGTGGGCATGGGAGACACCCTTACCGTGGGCACCACCTAATCCTGCTGAGCCTCGATTCCTTCTCTGGGAAATGGAATGAAGATGCCATTGACGTCACAGGCCGCTGGCCGGTGAACTGAATGCCCCATGCTGAGCACCAAGCGTGGAGCCGCAGGGCACCTGGTGCTGGGCCTGGCGCCTGGGGAATGGAATCACCACGGGGTGGGGTGAGGGCAGGGTTGTCAGACCCCGCGGCCCTTCTGGCTCCTTCCCAGCTCCTCTCCGAGATATCAGATTCAGTTCTGGGGCTGAGAGGGCAGCAGGAGAACAGGTTATCATCATTCAAAGAACTATGAATCATGGGCCACTCCCAGGGTCACTCTGTGGGCTCCTGATGTTGAGGGGTGAGCCCAACTGTCCTTGGTCTGGGTAGGCCCCAGGCAAGTAGAAAAGGGCCCCCGGGGAGCTCCATGAAAGATCAAGGTGGTCACGGCCAGAAATGCCACCCATGTGCTGGAGAGGTGGGACAAGATGCCCCTTCTGCTCTCCAGACAGCACAGGCCAGAGCCACAACATCAGATGTCACCCTCAGACAGCACAGGCCTGAACTCACACCACCTGATGTCCCCCCACACAGCACGAGCTGGAACTCACACCATTGACATCCCTTCTTTTTCCTTTTAATCACAGTCCCTGATCAACTGCAAAAGCCCTGGAGAGGATGACATCCTGTCAACGGGCATTGTCAGTTCCCATCACCTTTTGTCTGATGCTTTTGAATAGGATCAACCGATAAGCAGAGGTCAAGTGTTGGTGAATGTGGACACCAATCCCCAGATCCCGGAATTCCAGAGTCCTAGAACCCCGCAATTTCAGTCTATTGGAATCTTGGTTACTCAAAATAGCCAAGAAATCAAGAACCTTCCATATTAGCATCCCAGCCTTAGACCCCCAGACCCCCAGGGTGGAAGGGAGAGCAGAAGCCCAACCTGCTTCTCTTCAACGTCCTGGGACCCCCGGTGGGGAGGGGTCTCCCGGCTCTACAAGGCTACTCCTCTCTCCCAACAAGGGGGCCACAGGAGGGCCTCCTCTGCTCCCCTCCATGCCTTCCACTCCCCTCCCAGCCGTCCCCCTCGAACCATTATCACCTGCGCCTTAATGTCCTCTCTCTATACAGGATGGCCGGCGCAGCATTTGGTTGTGGACCCCTCCCATGGTAGATGCCCCCCTCCCCGACCGGCCTAGTTCCCACCTCCTCCCCCCACACAAAGGAAAGTGCGTCTGCACCGCGTCGTCCCGCTCCCCTGCCCATCCCACTCCTTTGCAGCTGTCAGGACCACCAGCGGCCCCCAGGTTGCCAGCCCCAGTGGGCATCTACCAGTCCTGAGCTTACTGATCCAACCACAGCCACGGCTGACCCGAGGACGGCCCCTTGCATGGCCTGGCCCACCATGTCCTGCCCACCTCCCTGAGGGACTCACTTCTTCCTCACAAACTTTGTCACCAGAGAGGCCAAGGGCAGGACAAATAGCAGGGCTGGTGCCCCACTGGGGATGTGGGGGACACAGGGTGACCGTGGTTACTGCGCATCCCTGCAGAAGCAGTACTGGCTGTGCGGAAGCCACGTGACCTTGGCCACCAGCAGGGAGGGAGCAAATATGGGAAGAGGGGCCTCCATCTGCACTCGGCTGGTTTAAGGCAGGTCGCGCCAGCGCTGCTGAGTCCTGTGGCTCCCACATCATCTCACTTAAGGACTCAGGGTGCCAGACCGTGGGGTGACAGCACCCAAGGAAATGAAACCATTTCACTCGAACAGGATCAACGTCCAAGGTGTCTGATGACAAATGTGTATCTGACACCTTTGGGTGGTAGGAGGAGGGGGTGGGGGGCCAGGATAGGGGACTGGATCAAGGGGTGGGGCAACAGGCCTGACCTGCCCCACCTCTGCTCTCTTCCGGTGCTGCCCTCTGAGGTCAGAGAGTTGGGTTCCAAGTGGGGGCACCTGTGTGGAGAGGAAGGGGCTCCAGGGGGCGGGTACCTCCGGTTCTGGATCGTCCACTGGCCCTGGGTACATGGCAGGCCGTACTTCTGCCTCCGCAGCGCGTAGGCGTCAAACCAGAGAGCCAAGCCGTACTCCAGCGAGGGCACCTGTGACGGGGGAGCCGGTCACCAGGTGGCCCACGGGCTGTGGCCGGGCTGGTGGTCCCACCCCACAGGACAACAGAGGCAGAAGGAGGCTCGCCGACACAGAGTGCCAGGAGGGGCTGAAGTTTGTCAGTCACTCAACAAACAAGTGTTGCTGTGGCTAAAGACCCAAACCTAGGCCACACTACCATCCCCTGCACCAGGGATTTGCACCCAGGGCTCAGCCTGTGGGTGCTTCAGCAGGGCAGGACATTGCCCCCCTCCCAGCTGGGGTCCCCGGAGGTGCACGGGGTGCTCTGAGCGAGGGCAGGGGGGCAGGCAGGTCGCAGGGCTCACCGTGAGGTGCCAGGAGCAGTGGGTGCTGGGCGAGTAGTAGCTGGGGAAGTGCGGTGTGCGGAGGGCTCCCTGTGGTTCCAGCCGGCCCTCCAAGGTCAGGTTCACCTCGCAGGCTGGGCCCCGAGAACAGCCGTTACACAGGCCCCGGCCCCACCCTGCTGCCCCTCCCAGCACCCAGGGGAGCAGCTGGAACCCCAGCATCCCTCCTGCCGCTAAACAGGAAAGCCCCGCGGTTGAGTGTGCCTGTGTGACCTCGGGCCTCAGTTTCGTCATCTATAAAACGGGACGATGACAGTCCACACCTCACAGGGTAGCTGAGCAGATGAAACAGACACGAAACACTCAAACAGCCTGGCAAGTAGGAAGCGCTCAATGAATGTCGGCTATGACTATGACATTAGCTGGCAGCGGTTGACAGCTTACTGAACACGTTCACTCCTGTGCCTGCCCACGGTTATGGGTCAAAGGGGAGGGAGAGTTGTCCCCTTTTCAAAGATGAGTCTCAAGGAAGAGAAGCAGCTTGGCTGAGGTCACTGGGAGAGTGAGGGATGGGGGAAGGCGTATGCCTGCTGTCCCCCACCTCTCCATGGAGTCCAGGTCCCTAAAGCCGCTCTCTCTCCTCCCCTAGAGGTGTGTCAAGACTCCCAGGGACGCCACCCCCCACCCCCAGGGGGCAGCCAGCGCCCCGGTGGGGCCAGCTGGGGCCCTGGGCCACAGCCAGGAGAGTGGGTATGGACAGTAGGAGAGGGAGGGGAGGCTGAGTGGGAGAGGCAGACCGGCGGAGGTGGGGAGCAGCGGCTGTGCGTGTGCACCCGGCCCTTGCAGAGCTCGGAAACTGAAGGTTCGCGTCCCTCCAGGCCCAGGACAGCCACTGGGCATGAAGGGTGGGGTGTGCTCTTCCTGAGAAACGGGGTGGGGAGGGGGCTCCTGAAGCAGGAGGAGCGTGGGGGCTGGGGAAGGGCCGGTGGGCAGCCCGGGGGAGAGCCTTTGAAATGCTGTGAATGCCCTGCGCTGAGCCCCACCCCGCCCCCTCCAGGGAGTCTGCACTGTTCCATTCCTTGTGCAAGGACTGCCTGGGGGTGAATCCGAGGTTCTCAGGCCTCTGACCACAGACACACTCCGGACAGAAAATATCAGAAGGAAGGCAGGAAAGAGAATGAGGGAGAGATGACAGAATCTTCCCTCTGCCCCCATGCCATCCCCAGCTACAGCAAAGAAGGTGAAGAGCATGCCCAGGGGACACCTCCCCACCCCCGGGACCCCGGACCCCTCACCCTGGAAGGCCACAGGCTGCACGGAGAGCACGAAGGGGTCCTGGTAGCTGTGCAGACCCTTCTTCCAGACCACTGCCATGACAGCGCCTGACGCCAGGACCTCCACCACAGGCTCCTGGCGGCTGCAGCCATAGACCCTGAGGGGACAGAGAAAGGTGCAAGGGCAGGCAGGGGTCCAGGAAGGGCTTCTGGGGTGGCCACGGGCTGCTGGGAGGAGCCAAGGAGGGCGGACTGGGAATCTGTATGGCCAGGTCTGCAGCCAGTCCGCTGTGTGTCCGCGGGCAGGTTTCTGACCCTCTGGGGTCCAAGGGACTGACTGGAGGCCCTGTAAGGGTCAGGCCAGCGTCTCGGGTGAGCGAGGCCAGGAGGTTGGCCAGACTTCTGGAGCTTGTAGTTCAACCATGACGGCTGACCCCAGTCTCACAACACGCCCTCAGAATCCCCAGGACCCCTGAGTGCTCAGCCTGTGCCCCCCAGGGAGCCCAGCTGGCACCTGTGGGGACCACTCCCTGTGGCTGGCCACACCCTGGCCACTGGCCTTATTCTGGGCTGGGCCAGAGGGAAGGCAGGTGTGTGGCCTGGTGACCCCTGGGGCACCCCAGGATTCCACCCAGAGCTTGGTGCCTGGGAGGTACGGAATAAATAATAGCATCTTAGAATTCTAGACTCTTAGAAGTCTGGAAGGTCGGCCCTGAAAAGGGTCTTCGGAGATTGTCAACTGCTTGGTTTCCAGGTAGGGAAACTGAGGCTCAGGACCATCCACAGCAGACAGATGTGCTCTGGGCACTGCATCTGCCAGCATGTGGTGACCCCCCCGACGCTGTGTAGGTGCCCCCACCCCACCCAAGGTCTGCCCATCTCAGGCAGGGGTGCTCCCGGCTTCCCCTTCGCCCTCTCACTAACCTCTGTCAAACTTCCCTTCATCTCCGACGGAATTCTCTGGAGCCCTTGCTAATTGGCAGACCAATTCCCAGGAAGCTAAGACCCCCGCCTCCCCCACAGTGGGCAGGCCAGCATCCGGCAGCAAGGCACTGCCTGCCCACTCTGTACAGCCATGGACTTGACGGGAGGTGGGGGGGCCGCAGGCCCCATGGAAATGCTTGCGTGAGATCCACACACGGCACCTGGCTGGTGGAGTGAATAATCCCAAGGAGCTTCCCGGGAGGGTCCTGGTGCCCAGCGCTCCTGGGAAGGGTCATGTCCCCTGCCTCTCCCATGCCAGGCACCCCAGTTCCTCCTTCGTTCTTCCTGCTTTGAACACCTCTGGTTTCTTCTCACTGCTGGAGCCCCCCACACACACACCACGCCCTCCTTGCCTCTGCTGCTCATCTGCCCGGGAGGTGGGAGGTGGGAGATAAGGTATTAGGGGTACGAGGGACCTGAGGTCGCCTTTAACAGGGGCTTCACCTTTCGTTTTTCATATTTACTTAGCAGCAGAGCCCTTGCTGTAACTACAGTGTCTAACCATGAGGTTGAAGTTGATCAAGGTTCCCCCCTGCTCTGTCTTCCCATCACCACTAAGGTCCCCCCTCCCAGCTCTGGGGTGCAAGTTTGAGGACCCCCAGTCTTGTCTGACTCTTCATTTTGGACCTTCTCTGAGGCTCTGAGACGAGTGAGCAGCCTGGTGCCACAGTGAGCAGGGACAGAGCAGAGACTGGCAGGCAGGTCCCCTCCCCAACAGCAGGCTGGGGGGCACTGGGAGAAGCCCCCAGGGAAGCCCACGAGCATCCCCACCCCCATCGGGCCGGGAGAGCAGACTGTATCTGGCTTCTCTGTGCTTCCCTCCAGGAACCCAGCCCACGCACACCCAGATCGAGGTCACCACGTGGTGGGGCAGCAGGCTGGGGGTGCCAATGAGTGTGCAGCCTCGGAGCCAGAGATTCAGAGAGGCCCTGGGGAGGGGCTGGGGAGAAGCTTCGCCCAGCTCACCCTCGAGGGCTGTCCTTGGTCTGAACACGCAGGTCCCACCCCACCCCAGCCCAGAAGCTGGGGGCCCCCGCGAGACAGAGAAGGCAGCAGCCCATGCCCCCGAGTGTCTGCCCCCCACTTCCTACAGAATCTTGTAGTCCCAACACCCCTCCCTTCCCCTGTGGGGAGGTGACTATGCTCCTGGGCCAAGCCCATTTCCAGCCCCTTTATGGTCTCCACACCACCCACTGCCTGCCCTCTGGACCTGTCACTCCTGCCCACTACATCATATCCCGTGTCCTAAAGCCCTGCTCCTCTGCTCAAGAACTTTCCGTTAGTTCCCCACTTACTAAGTATTCCAGTTCAAATTGCTCCTGGCATTCAATGCCCTTTGTGACCCGCCCCCAACTAGACTGTAGATAATGAGAGGAATAATGGAGAGCATTACTGTGTGTATGGATCTTGGCACAGATGGGTTGATTTAAATCCGCAGAATAACCCTGCAAGGTAAGCATGATTGTGCACCCATTTTACAGGTGAGAAAACTGAGGCTCAGAGAGGGAAAGTATCTTGCCTTAGGACACACAGCTAGGAAGCAGCAGAGGGAGGGTTGGAAGTCAGGGCTGCCAGACTCTGAAGCATTCTTCTAACAAGCCAGGTTTCCTCCCAGAGCTGACCTTAGGGGTCATCTAGTACAACTGGTTTGTTACAAATGGGGAAACTGAGGTGCTGGGAGAGGAAGAGGACTGCCCGTAGTACACAGCCATTTCCAGCCTCCTGTCCCGTTCTCCGTCTGGGCTAGCCTCACTGTCTCCCATCAGATACGTGGGCCCAAGGTCACACAGCCTCTGGTCTCAGAATCCTGGACATGACCTTTGACCCCACCCCAACCCCTCCCACCTCTCCCCTCACCCCGACCCTCCCAGCACTCACGAGGTGATGAGCTTCCTCTCCAGGGGCCCAGCCACGTCGTACATGGCCAGCCGGTCCCGGCAGTCGGCCAGCTTCCACTCAAGCCGGAGCTTGAGCATGAGATCCTGGGGGCCCTGCAGGTGCCAGAGACAGCTGGAGGCCAGCTGGTCGGGCCCCTTCAGCCGGAGGACCTGGCCCTGGCCCACGTAGCTGTAGCGGTAGCAGCCTGGAGGGAGGAGAGCGACAGGCCCCTGACCCCGGTTAGCTGGGAGGAGAGACCCAGGGAGGCCAGCCCTGGTGGGTCCTCACCAGGCAGGGGTGGGACGGCCAGAGCAGCTGCATGGGATCAGCCCAGATGTGCTACGTCCTATCTTTCTGTTTCCCAGCTGCTTCCATCCGTCTCCAGTCTCCTCATGCATGCATTCATTCATCGTGCATTCATTCGTTCACTTGCACTCACTGAGCCCTCCCCGCCAGGCGAGTGCCAGAGAAAGTCCCTTCACGGCGTGGGAGCGCCCAGAACAGCAGGCATAGACACAGAGCCCAGGGTAATAGCTCAGGAGGTGAGGGCGCTGAGCCCGGCCGTGGGGCAGGGAAGTCCTGGGGGGGTCACAGCGTGAGCAAAGGGCTGGAGGCCAGAGTGGGCAGGGACCTTGAGGCAGGAAGCAAGCTGGAGAAGCGGCAGATCCAGCTCACACCCCGGAGAGGAGCCCTGGGAGCCATGGAAGGTTAGGCAGGGCTGGGACGTGGTCGGGCGTGGACCACACACCCCTCTGCTGCTGGGAGCAACACTGAGGAGGCTGGGAGAGCGGGAGGCGTCTGCGCAAGAGGGGGAGCAGTGGGAGGGCTTCACGTAAGGTGGAGGGAAGGGACTGTGTTCCGGGGGCTGGGAGGCAGCCCTGGGAGAGGAAGTGAGCTTCTAGCTAATGATAACGGGACAAGGAGAGGGAGGCAGATTGCACTTATCACGTGCTGCATCCGTGCCGGAACTGAGCAAAACTGACCACCTTGCTGAGCAGCCCCGGGAACGGCGTCTATCACTGTCGCCGTTTTACAGCCTGGGCCAGACAGACCTGGGTTCCCTTCATCTCCCCTCTCTTTGCTGGATCTTATCCTCTGCAGGGCTGTCACAAAGCTTAGGGATGATGCATGTCTGAGCGCTCAGCATAGTGCCTTGCACACAGTAGGTACTCAATAAATGTAGTGACTGTTCTTCTTTAGGTGGGTGTGGGGGAGAGGGAGAGGGTGGAGCTGGGGAGAAAGTTCTGTGACACGTCACCCTTCAGCTGGCCCCGCTTGAGGCTCAGATGTGGCCAGTCTCACTGGCTGCCCTCACTTCACACCTCCTTCTCCATCACACAGACACACCCGCCCACACCCACACCCACACCCGCGGTGGCTCCTCTCTTACATTTAATCTACGAGCTTTGTATGCAAGGCTAGAACTTGCAAAGCTGTACCACCTGCACCATTCATTCATTCACTCATTCATTCAACATAGTTATTGATCACCTATTACGTGTTTGATGTAGGCAAACAAATCTCTCCCATGGAGCATAAATATCTCATTTAAACCTCACCATAAGCCTATGAAGCAGGGAGGATGGTGTTCTGCCAGGAAGCAGTCAGGATGTGGGGATGAGCCCCACTTGTGGGAGGCAGCAGGTGTGTGGGCAGTCCACAATCTGTTATAATCCCAGCACCACCTCACATCAGCTGTGTGACTCTGGGCCAGTCGCTTAGCCACTCTGAGTTCTGTCAAACGAACACAATAATAACACCTGTCCCACCTCCTTCTCTGGGTGGTTCTGAGGACCAAGAAGGGAATGGTGGTGAACGGGCTTTGCTCTGATCCTGCTGCCTGTTGCTCAACTCCCTCCTCCTGACCCCTGGCCATGGTGACCCCAGTGGGGAGTTGACCTCCCCGGGGAGAGACCTCTGACAGCTGCAAGTGGAAAGGACAGGCCTTTGATATCTGCCTCCGCCAGCACCGCGGAAAGGTGTCTGGCTGTTCCTAGGCGTTTGTGTCCTTTAAATCGTGCTCCAAGCTGATGCTTTGCTTTTGCCATTTTAATCTTTTTTGGTTTGGTTTATTTTGAGACTAATTAAGTGGAGAGGTTTGCGCTGGTTTCTGCTGAGAATCAGAAACACCTCTGGGGAGCCTGGTGTCTCTGGTCGCCGGGAACCAGCCTTGTGACAGGCCTTTGCTCACGCTGGTCCCTCTGCCTGACGGACTCCTACCTATCCCCAAGCCTGAGTCTGCTGCCGCCTCCTCCATGAGAGCTTCCAGGACCCCCAGTCAGGAGCAACTCCCTCCTCCCTCTTTGGATGGCGGCCCCTGGTGTCAGTCTCTGTTGCTCTCTCTGCTGCCTCGGGGACCTCTGTCCCAGCAGCCGCACTTGGTGTTGTGAGGTTCTGTTTATGTGTCTGTCTCCCCCACGGGGCCAGAGCTCCTCCGAGGGCAGGGGTGAGGACACGGTCACCTGGCGTCCCCAGCGCAGGCAGGGGGCCTGGCATGGAGGAGGTGCGCAGAAGCCTGTTTAAAGGATTTGAATGGTCATCCTCGCCCCATTAAACGCTGTGCTCCCAGAGGGCAGGGGCTCTGGATGTGCGCTGAACCAGATAAGGATAATTGCAGAACAGCTGCCAGAAACTTGGGGACACAAGGACACCCCATGCAGGCAAGGGCAACCAAAAGGCCCATCCCAGACCAAGGGCCAGGGCCACAGGTGTACTGAGGCAATGGAAGGTGCTAGATAGATGACTGATGGGTAGGTGATTAACAGATAGATAAAGGATTAATAGATAGATAGATGATAGATAGATACATAGATAGATGATAGATGGGTAGATAAATAGATACATGGTAGATAGATAAACAATATATAGTTAGATAGATAGATGATAGGTAGATAGATGATAGGTAGATAGATGATAGGTAGATAGGTAGATAGATGATAGATAAGTAGATAGCTACATCCATATATAGATAGATAGATGGTAGGTAGATGATATATAGATAGGTAAATAGATAGATAGATGATAGATAGGTAGATGGGTAGGCAGATAGGTAGATAGATGATAGATAAGTAGATACATAAATATATATATAGTACATAGATGATATTTAGGTAGATAGATGATAGATAGGTAGACAGGTAGGTAGGTAGATAGGTAGGTAGGTGGGTAGGTAGATAGATAAGAGATAGGTAGATAGATGAGAGATAGGTAGATGGGTAGATAGACAGGTAGGTAGATAGATGATAGGTAGATAGATGGATGATAGATAGATACATACATACATACATACATAGATGGTAGACAGATGATAGATAGATAGATAGATAGATAGATAGATAGATGATAGGTGATAGATAAATAGGTAGATAGATGAGTTTCCCGTGTTCTCCTTTGAACAAGCTTTACCATCCTACAGCTTCCTTCATTAATGAGTTATATAAATCTTTGGCATGCTCACAATGCCTTTGTATGAGAATCATGATTTTAACTATTTGAAAATTACACTTTGACCCCATCACCTCCATCTGCCAAGAAAGTAGGTATTTGACAAGCCAGATGGGACGAGACGATGGTCAGAGAAGGTATAACCAGGATTTAAACTCTGCCTTCCTCACTGAGAGGGGGCTGAAACCCCAGGCCCTGCCTCAGCTCTCAGTACAAACTCTAGGTGGTATAGGAAGAATCTGAGAATTTTGTGCTCAGGGCCACAGGGTACAGTAGCCCAGGTGGCGCACTGCACATCTCCAGGACTCTCCAGTCACACAGACCCCAGTGTGGACAGTACTCCCTGCCGTTGGTCAGCATGGTGGCCCTGCTGGTACTTTGCTCCCCAGGGCTCAGCAGAAAGACTGTGGAGCCTCTTGGAGAAAAGCAATCCGACTCTAGCAACATGGCTCTGGGGTGGGGTGGGAGGAGAGGGCAGACTAGCCTGGCTGGCTGAGGAAGGAAAGGGGGGAGGGAGTATCCTTGAATGTGACAGAAATATCTCCAAAAGACCAAGTTTTCAACCCAAAGTGGCTGGCACACCTCGAATTGGCAGGATTATTTTCTACCCGCAGTGGAAACAGCATCTTGTGGGCACATCGGATCCAATGATAGAGAAGTCGACTCACAGTTATGCACAATGAAACTGCTTTTCCCTCTCACATCCCACACAGGCAACACACACACACTCCTGTGCAAGACACACACACACGCGTGCTCACAGGCCCCAAGCCTTGCTCAGGACCCATCAGACATCCCCTGGGTGACTCCAGGCCAGTGCGCCCCGCACCTGCCACAGAAGCCAGGTAGCCCCTGACACTGGACCACGCCAAGAAAAACACCAACTCAAAAGGGAACAGAGAGAGCACAGAAGCAGCATACCCAGCGTGGAATTCAGGGCAACTAGGTCTTTCACGCTGGCTTCTGTCAAAAGGAAACGAACAAAGAAAAAAACAAAGACAAAAACATAAATAAATAAAAATGAAATGAAAAATGAAAATAAAAATAGAAGAGACCCGTCAGAGCCAGCCAGTCTGAGAGTGACCCTGAATGCCGACCCTCCGCCCCGCCCCGTCCCTCGGTCCTGGTTCCTGGGTCATGCAGGGGGCCACCCTGGGGGCCTCCCTGGGCCTGCCAGACCATCCCATGTTCCCCCTCCCAGTACTGACCCAGGAGCACCAGGCCCTCGGGGTCCAGCTCGTACTCAGCCCGGTAGGGAGGGGGCGCCGAGCTGTTGGCCGTGGACAGCAGGTCCTCCACCAGCAGCGCCCGCACCACCTCGGGGCTCAGCATCGGCCGGCGGTGCTCAGGGATTTGGAGGATGAACCAGAAGAAGCAGGTGAAAGGTCCCTCCCTAAGGCAGGCAGAAGTGAGAGGGGCTGGCGGGGCCTGAAGTCTGGCCCCCACCCAGCCCCCTGCCCCTGCGGGGAGAAAACCAAGCGTGGCTCATGCGTGTTGAGCGCTTACTACCTCCCAGGCCTTGTGCTCCATCTTCAGGGGAGCCTGCTAACAACCTCAGAGTGAGGCGCTCTCAACACGCCCATTTTACAGATGAGGACCCAGAGGCCCAGGAGGTTAGATCGATGGCGCAGACCGTGTCGTAAGTGGCAGAACCAGACACGAGCGGGACAGCTGGGCCACCCCTCTCTCCCACCCACCCACGGCCTCACCTAATACATGCCCTTGACAAGCACGTCGCACCAATGGTCTACCGGAATCCTTCCCACACCACTGCGCCCATTCTCCAGACGAGGAAACCAAACTCAGCGAGCGGTTGGGGCGGGGGGGCGTGGGTACATGCAGGAACCAAGTTTCCTCTCCATGCTTCAGTTGCCCCACTTTTAAAAACAAGGGCATTGCCTCAGAAGCCTACAGCGTCCCCTCTCACTCTTTGAGTCCGGGGTTGTAGCAGGGGCTGGTCGGGGGCCGGGATGACTCACCCAAAGGAGTAGACGGAGCTAGAGTTGTAGTACGTGCCCAGGCGGGTGCTGGTAATGAGCCCCTTGAGCTAAAAGGAGGGGAAACAATGGCCCCCTCTGACCTGGGGATGCCCTTCGCCCCTGCCCGCAGCCCTGCTTGCCAGAGGCTTGCCCGTGGGCCGTGCCAGGAAACAAACCTCACACTCACTCCATCTTCATCCCCTCCACCTCCGCCCAGGCGCTGCCCTCCATCCCCCCCCCCCCGCCCCGGCTCTGGCCTTCACCGACCACCAATGGCCTCTCTCCCCCTGGCCAAAAGTCACTCCTCAACCCCGAAAAGCCCGCTCAGCTCCTGAGTCCCCTCCCCGCGCCACCAGCCACGGGAGCTCAGCTGGTTGGTTTTGCACACGTTCGACCACAGCGCTGACGGCAGGATGGAACGGCGGGGTGTATGCTTGGAAAGCACGTCGAAGGGCACACAGAGAATGTCCTCATTACCTCATTTCAACCCCATGACAACCCCACTTTACAAAGGAGGAAAGAGAGCCTTGGGGGGGTGGGTCCCCCAGACGCAGGTCCCGAGTCAGGGACATGAGGCAAGTGGCTTATTTGGAGGTGATTCTGGGGAAGACAGTGGGGGCGGGGAAGAGAGACAGGAAGCGGGCAGCCCCTCTGGCTGTGAAGGAGCAGGTAGAGCTGTGGGCAGCTGAGGGCTCGTCCAACAGGCAGACAGCGGGGGGCCTCCTCAAAACTGCCCCCTAGAGCCAAGGAGCCGGGGATTCTATCCACGCACTCCACCTCCCGTGGCTGAGGGCCGCTCCTCGAAATAACTCCTCGGCACTTCCGGCCTGCCCTGCGGGGCAGGGCGCGGTCCTGTGGCCCAAGAGCGGAAGATGCTGGCAGCCGAGGCCATCCCCAGGGCAGTAAGGAGGGAGGCCAGGAGGGTGGGCCCCGCCAGCATCCCCACGCTGCCCTAACTTTCCTGAGGTCGTGCTCCTACTAAGCGGCACAATCAGGATTTAAGCCAAGTGACTGACCCCAGAGTCCGCTAACTTTCCCACCACCCTGTGTCACGTCCCCTCCCATCGTGCCTGGAACAGGGCTCTGCTCCCAGGGAGTGTTCCAGATGGACTGACCAACCGGCCTGACCTGCTCCGGCTCTGTCCCTCTCCCTCCTCAGCCCCACGTTCCGTCCCTGCATCCCGCAGTCCTTCCATACCATCTTCTGGGCTTTGGCGGTTTCACTGCGGAAGGCACTGGACTCGCGGCGGGCGAGGTCCTGGGAGAAGTGGCGATTGAGCACGCGGAGGCTGCCTGAGTACACCTGGCTGACGGTCACCTCCGCCCTGTACCCTGCCCAGGAAGAAACCGGCAAGATTAACCCAGGGCGCAGACAGGGAGGGCTCCTGGCTCCTCCACGCCTTCTCCTGCCACCCGAACCCTCGGCTCAGCCTCCAGCGTCTTGGGCCTCCAAGGCACCACCATCATCATTGTCTTTGTCATTGTCATCATCCTCATCCAAGGTTTATTTAGTGACACACTGGCCCTAAGGTGCCAGGGAGAAGAGAGGCCCACAGATGGGTGGTGTCCCAGGCAGAGGCTGACGCAGTGACCAGTCCAGGACACGGATGACATGAGGGCCAGGACACCCACATAACCCAGAAGGTCAAGTTCGTGGATTAGCACCTCTATGAATCTTCTATTGACCAGGTCGTCCAAGTTGCATGTACTATGTAGGGTATGACAGTAACCAAGACAGATGTGTCCCCCCGTGTGCAGCTGACAGTAGTGGGTAAGTCAGGTGTTACCCCAGTAACCACACAACATGAGGATCCATCTGGGAGGAGCACCTTCAAGGAGAGGCACAAGATGCTATTAAGGGGACGTGACCAAGAAACTGGGCCTGGGCCAGGGTGACCCTCCAGATGAAATGGGAAGAGTTGAGTATAAACTGAAAAGATGACAGGGAGGGAAGTACCTTCAGGGCAGAAGGAATAGCATATGCAAAGGCCCTGGGGCAGAGGGATAGTGGTAAGGACGAGGGCTAAAACCTGCTTGGCTGGAGCAATCAGATATGGGGAAGGGCAACAAGAGGCCAGGACTTCAGCAGGGTACGAGTTTACCCAATGAACAAGGGGAACCTTGAAAGGTTTAAAATCAAGGATGTGTCATCAGATTTCCATTTTGCAAAGACAGTTTTTGGCTGATGTGAAGAGAACAGATTCATAGCCCTGATTTTATACCCCTATTCATTCATTTATTCATTCATTCAACAAATATTCATTGAGAACCTGCTATGCATAGGGACTGACCTAATGCACTTGGGAATATAACAATGAACAAAACAATAAATGAATAAATAAAGCTGTCCTTAAGAGCTTGTAGTCCAGCAAGAAAGACAGACATAAACAGCAAGCATAGTATACAACATGTTCGAGGTGTAAGTGCTGTGGAAATCAGGGCCCAGGGGTGAGCTGCAACATGGAAGCCAGGGAAGAAGGTGATGGTAGCAGCTACGTGGATGTTGATCTATAGAAAGAGCGTTCTAGGCAGTGGGACGAGCAAGTGCAAAGGCCCTGAGGCAGGAGTTTGTCTGGCATGTTTGAGGAACAGCAAAGAGTGAGTGAGGGGAGAGCAGGCGGAGATGAGCTGGGGGATGAGAAGTGCATGGAGGGCCTTGCAAGCCCCGGGAGGACTTGGTTTTGCTCCGAGTGAGATGGGAGCCGTGGGCGGTTTTAGGCAGAGAAGTTAGATGATTTGATTCGCTTTATAAAACAATCTCTCTGCTACTGTGTTGAGAACAGGCTCTAAGGAGGCAAGGGCAGAAGCAGGGAGCCCAGTGAGGGGGTCCGTCCAGGGGAGAGTAGTCCAGGAGAAAGGCGACGGAGCCTGGACCAGGCTGCACAGCAGAGGGCGTGAGAAGCGACTGGAGTCAGGATATTCTGGGGCTGGAGATGACCAGGTTTGCTGGCAAGTTAGGGCCAGGGTGTAAAAGAAAGAGTAACAGGGAGTAACTAGAAGGATGAAATGGCCACAGACTGGGAGGTGGGGGGCGCAGGTTTGGAGGAAGTGATGAGAGTGGCCTGCTGAACCGTGGGGTCTGAGATGGCCCTTGGACATCCTGGTGGAGAGGCCCCAGTGACAGAGTGGAGCTTGAGGGAGGTGCCCAGGGGCCCAGGCTGGAAACGCAAAACTAAGAGTCTTCAGGGTCTAAAAGCATTTAAAGCCAAGGGCACCGGAGGAGAATCTGAAGGGAGTGGGCCGAGGGAGAGAGGAGGGGAGCCCCGCGCCCAGCACAGGACACGCAGGAGAAGAAGCAACCGTGAGGGGGGGGGGGGGGGGGGGGGTGGAGAAAATAAGGGGAGCCCCAGGAGCCAGTGAGGAGTGGGCTTCAAGGAGAAGGGGGACAGGCGCCTGGTCAAGTGCTGCCCATGGGTCAACGGGTCAAAGGCAGTGAGGACTGAGGACTGGCCGTTGGGTTTAGCAACATGATGACTGGCGACCTTGACCAGCCCTGCTCGAGCTGTAGGGGAAGGGGGCGGGGAGCCAGGATGGAAAGGGCGCAGAGAGATCAGGGGTGCAGAGTTGGAGGCAGCAGCTCTTAGAGACTTCTCCTTCAGAGAGTTTGCTGCAAAGGGGGCAGAGAAACGGAGGAGAAACAGAGGGATTTGGTGCGGGAGCAATGGGAGCACGCTTGTACACTGAGGGTGACACCGCTGGAGGAGAGAAGGAGCATTGCCAGAGCCCCAGCCGCCGCGTGGGCAAAAGGGGTGCCTCCTGGGAGGGCAGGCGGCTTTAGCCGGGGAGGGATGGCCAGCCGCAGGGACAGCGGGGAGGGCAGAGCACCGGGGTGCAGCTGGGAGGACGTGGTGCTGGCATCCACCAGGCTTCTTTTCTGAGTGGTTCCGTTTTCTCATTGACGCAGGTGGCAAAGCGGGTGGAGGTGAGGGTGGGAGGTTTGGGAAGAAAGCATAAAACTCGCCCAGGAGAGGGAAAGGACCGGGGAAATACCGGCAGGCAGCATTGAGGGCCCTGCTCCAAGAAGAACGTACCCCGGGCCCAGGGCTCCTCGGCGCTAGGAAGCCGGTCCCCACCCTCTCCTCTCCTGGGCCCCTTTCTGGGTCAGGCTGCCACTCAGCCAGTCCTTCACTCCTCACTGGGCTTCTCCCGCTCCGATGTCATAGGTCCCAGCCTGGCCCCGGGTGGGAGGAACCCTTCAAACATCTCCTCAAGTGCCTCCTCCACCCTTAATCCCTTTGGGGGATGGGGGGTGGGTTCCGCAGTTGAGGCTTTGGAGCACTCACCCCCTGGGTCCTCAGCCCCAAGGAGCACCCACCCCTGGGGGTGATTTACTCCTGGAACTTAACTAGGAGAAATTAGACTCTGAAAGAGAGACAACTGGCAGGTGAGTTCCCGGGCCTCCAGACTGACGCTCCGAGCTCTACCCTAAAGACTATTTATCCTGAAGCCTAAGGAGGCCCCAGCAGCCCCGCACTCTTTGGGGCGCTCTTTGGGGCGCCGGCTTCCTGCCGGTGGTGAAATACACACAGCTTCCACTCCCTGCCCATGTTGCTCAGCTCTGAGCACAGTCCATTTGAGTCACAGCAGGCGGCCGGCATCTGACCCGGGCCTCCCAACAGCATCGGCAGGGGCTGCTCCAGACCACCGCCTCCCTGGACCCCTCTGGAGCTGGGCCCTTGCTGATCTCCCTGATAACTGCCCCAAAGGGGGTCCCCATTGCTTTCAACGGGCCTGAATTCCACCAGGAGATTTAGCCAGTAAGAAGACTATCTAACTTCCACAGAGTGTTTAATGGGAAGTCTCTGATCTCTTGAGCAGGGTGGGTGGCCCTTGCTGTGGCTGCCTGGCCTCAGCTCCTCTGTCCTAGCACCTGGTGTGCTTTAAGGCGAGGGCGGGGTTTTCTCCAGAGCCCAGCTCAGAGCTGGAGTACAGGAGGTGCTCAGTACTGAATAAATGAATGAATGAATGAGTCTTCTAACACTACACGAGAGCATTCTCACAGGCCCCATCTACTTTGGTTTATCCATTACCTCCCACCCCCAAGAGCTGAAGGAATGAGGTTTGGTGTCCACTGGTTTCAGAGAGAGACATAGTAGATACTCAAGAGTGTTCATTGAGTGAACGAATGCATGCATGAAGGAACGAATGAATGCATGAAGGAATGAATGCATGCATGCATGAATGGAAGGATGGACGAATGGACCCAGAACATGGGCCAGTTGCTCCTAGGGCTCCAGGCGACTGACTGAGGCTATGATACCAGAGAGGGCGGCCAAAATTCAGGACAGGGGAGAGGCCCTGAGCTCTGGACACCTCAGGCCCCCCATCACTGTGTGCTGAATTCCACATGTGCCGAGCTGGGTCTGAAAGCCATCTGTGTGCATGGACACCTCCTGGATGCCTGAGTCCTGTGTCCTCCTCCCCTCATCCACACTCCTGCTGGGCCCTGGAGACCCAGAGGTGCTGGAGCTGTGGTCCCTACCCCGGACGAGCTCCCAGGTTGCGCTCAAGTGAGCAGAGGCATTAATTGGTGCCAGGCACCACTGGCGCCAATGGGCCCCCTCTCACAGAGCCAGCTGGCTCTGAGCCCCAGGGCAACCCAGGAGGGCTGCAGGCAAGGGGAGGCAATGTTTACATTCCTTCAGTTTATCAGTTCACGAGAACTGGGCACGCTGAGAAAGCACTCCTTCCACAGTGGGTGGGAGCTGGGGGCACTTGGCCTGGGGCCCCAAGACCTAGCATGGGGATGCAGCAGCACTCCCATCTCACAGAACAGAAAGGGAGACTCACAGAGACAATGTGCCTTGCCCAAGGTCACACGGAGTTATAGGCATCACTGAGCTTGGATCTGCCCTGCTGTGCCCCCCACAGCCACCCAGAGTCCTCCCCAGGTGCCTCTCCCAGGGGGGCCCACGCGATTACCTAGGAAATACCAGAGCAAGACCCCCACGGAAACCAGCACGACCAGGGCCAGCCACAGGGGCGCCAGGCGGAGGTAGTCTCCGACTTTTCTCTTGGAGTCCTCAGGGGCCTTGAACATCCCCTCCGGCTCTGCGTCCTCGCCGTCGCCTCCATCGCTCTGCCCACCAGCGGCTTGGGGGGCCTCGGCCATGGGCATCCTGGTGGAGAAAGAGACCAGGGCTGGAAACCATCTGGCATTTGCAAGGGAGCCTTTGCTGGATGCCAGCGATGCATAGAAGTGAGACAGCACCTCTGCCTTTTGGATGGGAGGAAAATAACACCGGGGGGCAGTGACTGAAAGTGAGAGCTGAGCCAGCTTCTAGTGGGGGAAAGCGGGTCCCCGAGCAGCTCGCCCCAGAGGGCAAGTGGCAGAGCTGGATTCAGAGCGGCTCTGGAGCCCCCACCTTTGCTCCCGCACTACCCTCTCTGGGGTTAGAGGACAGATGCAGGTCTCAGAGCCTGGACCCTGCCCTCCAGAAGCTGTACCTACACACGGGACCAGCACACGGGGTGCAAACTTCTGTGCACCAGCTCCTCTCGCCCTCGGCTTCCCTTCCACTGGGCCTGCTTTTCCTTCTTCCTGGGTCTCCACAATAGAGTTTCTGGTAATACTGATGCAGTGAACTCACTGCACCAGCCCCCCAAGGCCTGGAGAGAGCCAGCCCTTAGCGCCAGCCCTCCTGTCTCCCCACCCACCAGAAAGCCTCTTAGGGGTAGAAGACAAAAATGAGTATTTGTTTAGTGTCTACAGAACACATTTCACAGGTATCACCTCATTCAAGCCTCTGGTCCCCCAGGGATTTGGGGAGCACTGTCACCATGCATTCTTCTTCCTCTGGCCCCCTCTGTGTGCACACTTCATGTGTATTATCTTGCTGAAACCTCCAAGCACCTTTCAAGGTTCTGCACCCATTGGACAGATGAGGAAACTGAAGCCCAGAGCGTTTTAGCAACAACTCAGTCCAGGGTTTTCCTGGCTTCGTTTTCCCAATGTGAGTTGAATATCTGGCGCTCTCTACCAGCCCCATTTTACAGATGAAAACCCTGACGCCCGGAGAGCCTAAGCCACTCGCCCAACGTCACACAGCAGGTGAGGAGGGATCCAGCCCAGGGTCTGACTCCCTGCTCCTTCTGCTACTCTGGGCTGCTTCCTGTGAATGAGCTGTTACTTAACAAATAACCATTTAATAACAACTGAATGTCATCCCCCTCGGTGCCCCCGGCCTGCAGCTCTGTTGTCAGACCCCCAAGCAAACTTCTGAGTGTTATTGGCTTCTCAGGCAGGTCCTCGCACAGCACAGAGAAGGCCCTTCACCCCCCTCCCCGCCTACCCGCAGAGCAAGGATTCCAGAGCACTGAGAAGCCAGTCTCCCATTACTGCATCCTTAAATGCCGCTGGGCCTTTCAAATGCATCCCAGATGGGGTTGGAGGATGGATTCCCTTTGGGCTGTGCCTTGAGTTTTCACACCGTGAGTTTTCTGAAAATGGGGCCCCTCAGTGATGCTCAGAGTCCTCCCAGCTGGATTCAAGGGCCCCTGGCCCTCCTTCCCACTTTCCTGCTCCCTGCCACTCCTCTTGGCATTGTTGCCAGCCAAGGATGCCTGCTGCAGCCAGCCACAGTGACCCTCTTGAGTGGGCCCCATCAGACATAAGGAAGGGAGGGACTGCTGGTGACTCTCCACTGGGCCTGGACTCCCCTCCACCCAGTAACCAGAGGACACCCATATGTGTGGGGCAGGCCCTGCTGGGGCCAGAACCAAGGATGGTCAATATCCTGCAACAGGCGGGACAGCCTGCCCACTTCCCAAAGTGTCCCAGCACCCCTGCTGAGAAACTGGCTGTCCCCAGAAGCTGAGTGGGGTGGCTGGATCGGGGAGAGCCCAGGCGATCGGCCGGCTCCACGACCTCTCAGCCCCAGGTCCATTCTCTCTGCTGCAGGTGGCCACACCCCTCTTTTACTCTTGAGTCTGGATCACCAAGGAGCTATTTCGGGGTGACTCACAGAGCCGTGGGACCCAGGGACCCAGAGGTGACAATAGTTGACATTTACACGAACTGTCTCATGGAAGCCTCACACAGACCCTGTGGGGGTAGGTTGTCTTATTATCCCCCTTCCACAGATGAGAAAGTTGAGGCACAGAGAGGCTGAGCAGCTTGGCCAAGGTCACACAGGTGGTTAGCAGCAGAGCCAGGCTGCAAACCCAAGCCCTTTATCTTCAGAGGAATGCCCTAACCCCTGTGCTCTACTGCCTTACACCTCCTCAGGTGCTGAGGGGGAAACCGAGGCTCAGAGAAGGTTGTGAGTCCGTGAGAGGAGGCAGCAAGAGAGCAGTCCGGGGTAGGATGGTCAGGGAGGCCTCCCCCTTCCTCCCCCATCCCGCACGCCACGCCTTCACTCTGTGGATCCTGCCTCCCTCATAAACGCCCCTCGTGTCTGTCTGGGAAGACCCTGAGCATCACAGAGGGGGCCCATTTGCAGAACACTCGCTGTGTGAAAATCCAAGATTAGACACAGCCCAGACGGGGGGGCAACTCACCTGGGCTCCCCATCGCCTCCCACCGGGACCCCTGGACCAGCATCCTAACTGGGCTCCCCGCCTCCCATTTCCTCCTCCGGCTCCTCCTCACGTTATCACCAGAGAGCTCTCCCTGGCCACCTCCAACCGCTCAGCTGCTCAGAATGCTCTCATGGCTCCCAGCCACCTCCAAAGCCCTTGCCGTGGCGCCCAAGACCCTCCATGGCCAGGCTGCTGCCCACGCCCCCCGCGGCCCTAACATCCATGACGCACAGCGCCCTGCAGGCCCACGAGACCCCACTTTGTGCTGCCACACCCTCTGCCTCAAGGACTGCCTGAAGGACCCTTAAAGGCCAGCTCCAAGGCCACCTGCCAGGCGAGGGGTCTCAGGGCCCTGGGTAGTAAGTTGCCTCCTCCTCTGGGCAGCCCTCGGTCAGATCAACAATCTGCCTGGCTTTTGGCCTCGTGTCTCTCCCCCAGAAGGAAGTGGGCCTGTGTCTTACTCAGCCCTGCCCCCCACAGAACCCAGCCCAGAGCCTGCCACCCAGATGAATGAGCCCCCAGACTCCCGGTGCAGTGCTCTCTCCTACATCTCACTGCCTCCAGGAAGTGGGACTCGTGGGGCTTGCAGCTGGGGCGCAGATGATGGGGTCGGCCTATCGAGTCCTTGATTCAGTTAGCTGGCCACCCCATTTCTATCGGCACCTGCTTGGTGCCAGGCTCGGTGCTGGGGACGGGGCACACTGGTGAATATAAGAGACCTCATTCCCACCCTCTTGGACTGACAGCCCAGCAGGAGATGGACGATGGTGACAGCTGACAGCTGTGAAGATGACCCCACCATTCCTGTCTTTTACTATCACAACGGCTCCTCCGTTGTTCCGAGGGTCCAGTTCATCACAAAAGTCTGTGGCTCTACCTTCCAACCGTCCCCAGAACCCAACCCCTTCATCCAGGTCAACATCATCTGTCACCTACCTGCAGTAGCCAGTCGTCCGGCCACCCTCACTAGCAAATTCCCATACAACCACCAGGGTGGTCCCTTCACCATGTGCCCTGCTCACAAGCCTCACATGACTTCCATCCACCTAGAACAGAGCCTGAAGCCCTTATCACAGCCCACAAGGGCCCATGTGACGTGGCCCCTGCACATCCTTCTGTCCTCTCCCTCCCTCTGCTGCAGCCACACCAGCTCCTTGCCAGACCTTCAACATATCAAGTACATGCCACCTCAGGGCCTTTGCACTTGCTGTTCCCTCCGCCAGGAACACTTTTCCTTCAGTTTGCCTCATGGCCTGTTCTTTTACCTCCTTTGCTCAAATGTTCCCTTTTCAAGGAGGCCTTCCACGACCACTCCCCACCCTCTGCTGCACTTTTCTTCACAGCACTTCTCGAGATCTTTCTATACTTATGTGTCCTTTTTCTGTCTCTCCCTGGCTGTTAGCTGTACAGGAGCAGGGGCTTCATTGTGTTCACCGCTGTGTGTCCTGTGCCAAGAGCAGAGGCTGGCACTCAACACAGTCACGCGCCACATAGCAACATGTCAGTCAACATTGGACCACATAGACAATGGTGGTCCCATGAGATCAGTACCATATAGCCTAGGTGTGGAGTGGGCTATGCCATCTAGGTTTGTGTAAGCGCACTAGATGATGTTCACACAATGACATCACTTAACAACGCAGCTCTAAGGACGTGCCCCCGTCATTAAGCGACGCAGGACTGTGGCTGTTGAACGAGTGACCGCTCAGGTCCCAGTTCCTTCCCACGGAGCTGGAACGTGCTTGTGCCCGGAGGCCTGGCTGACTTGGCCTGCTCCTTCCTCCCCTCTCCCTCTTCTCTGGTCGCACCGCGGCGACACTGGACTCCTCAGTTATCAATCCTAATAACGAAGATGGCAGGAAACTTGGACAGATCGAGGGCTTTGCCAGCGCTGGGTGAAGAGCATGGTGTGGGTGGCTTCTTGAGCCCAGCGGGTTCCTGCTGACAGCCTGCTTTCGGCACCCTCCCCCTTCTGCCTGCACTGCCACCTCCTCACGCGGCCCCATCACCCTCAGCCCAGCTCCCGCCCGCTCCCGGCACGTCTCCTCTGCAGCGCCCTGGGCCTCCCTGGGCAACCACAGCTCACCTGGGGGCATCCTCTGTGCCCTGATGGGGAGCCCTGGAGGGAGGGGCTGGGTGCGCCCCACCCACCACAGGGGCCTGAGGCTCCGCCCCTTATCCAAGCACTGGGACTCCCAGCCTGCTCCTCACTCCCTCCTGCCCTCTGACCCTTGGAGGGTCCCTGGTCTGCCCCTGGAGCTGAGCTTGCTGGGGCGGGGCCACCCCTCTTCCAGCCCCGTGCGGGCCTCCGCCTCCGGCAGCCTGCGACGTTTGCTTTGCTGTCTTTACTTAGTGTTTGGGGAAACTGAGGTACAGAGAGGTGACTTCCCTGAGATCACTCAGCCAGGCTGGGCAGGGCAGAGTAGGGCAGAGCTGGGATTCTGACCCAGGACCTTTCAGCGAGGCCAAAGGGCCTCGAGTAAATCCTCTCTACAGCCACTTTCTGTGTCCCCGAGTGTGGGGACAGTGGGTGAAAGTCCCCACCACATGCACACATTCATAAACTCACACACAGGTATACACACATGGAGACACACATCTATCCATGACACACACACTCATCGATGCATGCTTGCACTTCATACACACTTGCACACACTCATGCACACACACACGCTCGGCCGGCCGTCTTTAGCCCTGAGCCTGTGAGCTCAGCGTCCCGCAGTGGGTGCAGCGTGGGGCTCTGGGCCCGTTCCCCACATCCAAACCCAGGTCGGGGACCTGGATCTGGAGGGGGCAGTGTGTCCAGCCCTGGCGAGTGAGGGTGGGATGGTCAGCCCAGCAAATCGGGCCTCTCCCCGGCCCTGTCCCTGCCCCAGAGGCCCCAGGCCCCACCCGAACGCCAGGCCTCCCAGCCCCCCGAACCTGCGGCCCCTCAACTGCCGCTGTGCCTGTCCCCACACGCGGCCTCGCTCCGCCCCGTCCTGCCCCCACCCCAGCCCCATGCACCCCTCGCCTTCTGCTCAGCCTTCCCGCTCCGGCCTCCGAGCAGGGCAGATGGCTCAAGCCCCAGGGAGCCAGGCCGGCGACCAGGGTGGACACTACCACCACGTCACTCATGGATCCCAGTGCCCCGGCCCGGAGGCCCCCTTACCTTTGGGAGTGGCAGGTGGGTGCCAGGCCTGCACGCAGGCCTCAGAGCCGCTGTTTGTCCAGGCCAAGGTCTCCCCTCCCCCACCGGCCGCCGGGCTGGATCAATGGCCTGGAGCCATGGCAGGGGTGCCTGGCCCTTGTCCCCTGTGGCCTGTGGCCTCAGGCGCCATGGGCCTCCTGCTGGGCCGGCCACGGTGACTGAGCCTGGTAAACAGGCCACAGGCAGGCGGCAGGCAGAGCCCGCCCCGCCCCGCCCCGCCCGTGGGCACCCTGGAGGCGGCGGCAGGTGCGAGACCGGAGCTCTCCCCGGGGGCCCGTTGCCTGGTGACGCTCCTGCCTGGTTACAGCCCGGGGCCCCGGAGGGAGCGTGGGTCCCCTTACCTGGACAAGTGAGGCCGGGGGTGGGAGTGGGTGGGGGGGTGGGGGTGGGGGCCAGGGTGGCGGCCCCCTCGTGCAGTCCGTTCCGGCGGCCGCCGGCCACGTGCGGCTCTGGAGCTCGCAGGACGCGGCCACGTGGGCTGGGACCGGTCGCAGGTGGGACACACGCCGGGCTCCACACTCGGGGCGACCCTCCCCAGCACGAACTTGTCACACGATCACTCCCTCACATGGCACCGCGGGGCTCCCTGCGGTCACACAGAGGGTCCTCCTGGCGCCCACCCGCACTTGTCTCTCTCCAGCGACGGACGAGGCCACCACAGCCCGGAGCTGCGCGCCGTCCGCCGGGCGCACCGACCCACCACAAGCGCCCCGCGAACAGCGGGGCCGGGCGTGAGGACGCGTGCGCGTGCGCGTGGAGGCAGAGGCGTGTGCGTGTGAAGGAGTAGGTGTGTGTGGAGTGGGAGGTGTGTGTGGAGTGGGAGGTGTGTGTGGAGTGGGAGGTGTGTGTGTGGAGTGGGAGGCGTGTGTGGTGTGTGAGGGTGTGTGGAGTGTAAAGTGTGCGTGTGGCGTGTGACGCGTATGCGCGCGGCCAGTGTGTCTGGGGTGTGCACCGAGGGGCGGGTGAAGACAGGGAAGGCCGCCTGTGTGGTCCCTCCCTCGTGGCACCTCCGTGCGTCGCACACCCCTCGCGTGCTCCTCCTCGCGCTCTGTGACGGGCGCCGGGGCGGGGCGTGAGTCCCGCGTGGCTGCGGGCGTGAGGGGCGTGCCCAGAGCCCTCCTCTCGGGGCGGGGCCGGGGGCGCCCCGGCTCCCTGGGTCCTGGTCCTCGGGCCTGCAGGGCCTGCTGCCCGGGCCTCACCGCCCTGGCCGAGGACGCAGCCAGGCCCAGCTCGCAGTTTTTCCTCCTCCCTCCTGGTCCCCTCCTCCCAGGCGGGGCTGCCCTGCGAAGTTTGCAGGGAGGGGCGCTGGGGTGGGAGCGTGGGGCGCTGCGGTGGGAGCAGGGGTGCGGGCGTGGGGACCGAGCCCAGCCTCTGTCCCGCCCCCCCACGAGAGGCTCCTGCTGGAGGCACAGCCGCCCGCGCTGGACCGGGCAGGCCGGAAGCTGGACAGTCGGAAAAGCCGAAGGTCTTGCACAACCAGCGTCCTCTGTACCTGGCGGCCGCCCAGCCATCGACCGGCCGCAGCCCGGGGAAGGGCCGCGCGGGGCAGCGGGACGCGGAGGAGGCGGCGTTGGAGGCCTGGGCAAGGGTGTCAAGTGCCGGGAGCCCAGAGGGCCGCGGGGAAAGGGCTTCCTTCTGGCAGCGGGGCACCCGTGTGGCCTGCGTCCATCCTCTTGTCCCGGGGCGGATCACACACACACACACACACACACACACACACACACACACACACACGGCATGAAGGCCTCGCTGCTCCGGGGGATCTGCATCTCACACCAACGCCAGGCCCCCAGGGTCCCCAGGGACGGGGAAGCCACCTGGAAGCCTGGCTGGCCAGGCTTGGAGACCAGGGTGCACGCGGGCTTGACCCAGCAGGACAGGGAGAAGGCTTGTTGAGGGCAAAAGATGGAACTGGATATAAATCGCAGAAGTGTGCCAGGTACTTGGGAGGCCCTTAACAAAGGTCAGTTGCCTCTCTCTCAATCCGGGGTTTGGGCAGAGCTGGGGGCTGCCGGCCGTGTCCCCCCTCACCCTCCATGCAGCCTTCTGATGACGGTCACTCGGTCCCGGCTGATGCCACAGAGAGCGCCTGCTGTGGGCCAGCTGCCGTGCCCAGCGCTTCCTGGTTATTTCATTTACTTCTCACAACCGGTTCGTCCATGCCGTTTTTAGCCCCAGTTTGCAGAAACCAAGGCCCTGGGAAAATTTGACCTCGTGACTCCTAGTTGATTAAGTGCCTACAATTTGCCAGGCCTGTGTTGGGCACCGGGGACAGGGACGTGAAGGAGACACGTGTGACTTCTGCCCAACAGAGCGGGACATTGTACATAAGTCCTGGGTTTGAAAAGACAACATTTGGACATTCAACATCCCACTTCATAAGACATTCTGAAGGGGAGCTGAACTCGGAGAGGGAGGCCACCGGGCCAGCAAGTCACAGCCCTGACCCCAGGCCTGGGCGCCACCCAACGGGATGGGTGCCGCCTGCCTTCCTGGGGGCACAGAGAAGATGCTTGTGGGGGTAGCACTGTGCCTTCCCCAGATCCACATGTGGGAGTCTAGCCCCCGTCCCTCGGAAGGTGATCTGACTTGGAAATAGGGGTGCTGTGGATGTATTTGGTTAAAATGAGGTCATGCTGGAGTAGCGTGCGCCCTAATCTGATAACCTTGATGGCCGCAGAAAAAGGGGAAATTTCAAGACAAACACACACACACACACACACACACACACACACAGAGAATGCCATGTGAGAATGAAAGCAGAGAACAGGGTGATGCTTCTACTTGCTAAGGAATGCCAGAGATCTCCAGCAAGCCAGCAGAAGCTAGGAGAAAGGCCTGGAATAGATTCTTCCCCACGGCCTCACGGTTCAGGAAGAAATAGCCGTGCCAACACCTTGCTCTTGGATTTCTCTCCTCCAGAACTGTTTGACAGTAGAGCTCTGCTGTTTCGGCCGCTCAGTTCGTGATACTCTGTCCACACAATGTTCCGTGAACTGGAGGTGGGCAGATGCCGTGCCAGCGCCTGTCGTGTGTCATGTGTTCCACTTCCTCCCACGGCCCTGCACACAGCAGGTGCTCACCACTGGCCACCAAAGAGGCTGGCGAGCCCGGAGAGCTGCCTTGTTGTCAGGCCTTCAGGCAGCATGCTGTGGTCAGCCTGGAGTGGGAGGAGGCTGGGGCAGCTGACCTCGGCTCAGCTCAGGCAGGCCCTGTAAGAATGACAACCACCAGCCTTTAGGGACAACCCCATATCACAACTCTTACTTTCTGCAATTAACCGCTCCAGCGGTTTGTCTCTCTCCCTGCTCCCCATTCCTAGACTGTGAGCCCATGAAGACAAAGTCCCCATCTGTCTTGTCCTCTGCTGGATCCCAGCCTAGAACGGTGCATGGCACACAGGACAAGCAAATGTTTGTGGAGTGAATAAATGACAGTTGCTGTCAACTTCTTCACTGATAATACAGGAAGGCTTTTGAGCTCTGGGCCCTGAGCCGAGCCCTTCGCAGTGAAAGGTCCAGACTTGGGAGAGAAAATATGTGTCCCCATCAGCAGAAGAGGAGACTGATGTTCTGAGAGGAGCGGTTGACCTGCCACAGGTCCCACGGCCCCTTGCAAGTGGAACGGGGACTCCGACCTGGTCTCTTTGATGGGAGGTGAATCAGATTCCTAAGCTGCTATAATAAAATACCGCAAACTTCGTGGCTAAAACAGCAGAAGTCCATTCTCTCCCGGTCCCGGAGGCCAGAGTCGAACGTCGTCCGCGGGTCCATTCTCCCTCTGAAGGCTCGGCAGCGAATCCTTCCTCACCTCTTCCTGGCCTCTGGTCGCTGCTGGCAGTCCTTGGCATTCCTTGGCTGATAGAAGCCTCGCTCCGGCCTCTGCCTCCCTCGGCAGGTGGCCTTCTTCCTTTGTGTCTGTGTCTCTGTGCCACATTTCCCTCTTCTTATAAGGACACCCATCATACTGGACTCAGGGCCCACCCTGATCCCATGTGACCTCATCTTAACTTGCTTACGTCTGCAAAGGCCCTATTTCCAAATAATGTCACCCTCGCGGTTTCCGGGTGGACATGAATTTGGAGGGGACACTGTTCAATTGAGCATAGGGAGTGAAGGGACTATTCTGAGGGAGGGGCATCAGGCTGGGAGATAGCGGGAGAGCCACCCCTCCTGGTCAGCCTGCCCTGGGGGTCACCTGAGCCTCAGAGCTCAAGGAGGCCACGGAGGGGGCGAGGGAGGAGAGTGCAGCCCACCCGGGAGAAGCTTCTCTGCTGGCTGAGCCTCTCTCTGAACCCAGGAGGAAGTGCAGGGGCTGCGGGGAGGGGGGAGGGGCGGCTCCAGGTGCCCCAGCAGATGCTGTCTAGACAGGCGTCTGCGGTTCGCAGCTCCTCCAGACTTGAGGGCGGGGCATGAGTTTCCTAGGACTGTCAGAACAAAGTGCCACCAACAGGGCTGCGTAAACTAAGAAATGTTTCTCTCACTGTTCCAGAGGCTGAAAGTCCAAGATCAAGGTGTCGGCAGGACCAGGCTCTCCGAAGGCCCTGAGGGAGGGTCCTTCCTGCCTTGGCAGGTGCTGGCAGTCCTTGGCATCCCTTGGGTCATGGCAGCATAACGTCCCCTGGACTTCTCCCTGTGTGTGTCTTTCTCTGTGTCTCTTCTCTTCCTCTTATGAGGACACTAGTCATACTGAATTAGGGCTCCCCCCAATGACCTCATCTTATTTACAAAGACCCCTATTTCCAAATAAAGTCACATTCATAGGTTCCAGGGGTTGGGACTTGAACATATCTTTTGAGGGGACACAGTTCAGCCCATCGCAGGCGGGGCGGGGGGTCAGGAGCGGGATGGATACTGACAATGCGTGGACGCTGTTCCACAGTCCGTGTACCCTGAGTCCTCAAGCTGCTCCCGAAGGGTGCTTTCTCTACTCCTGAGCTGTCCCCACCATCGCTCTCCGCCTGCGCCGACACAGGGGTACCCGCCCCTTCTCCCTCCCATAGCCTCTGGAGCCTGCGGGAGCCGCACTGTGGCTGGGGGGAAGGAAACCCCATGGGCTGCCCGCACAGCCTTGCCCCTTGCCTTGAGCAAGACTTCAGAGGGTGCCTGCGCAGGGTCCCCGGGGCCCACCTCTGCCACCTCTGTTCAGCACACCCTGTGCCCACCATGGCTCATCCACTTGTTCCTTAATCTGGCGTCAAGCACTCACACAATGCTGGTCTGTGCTGAGCC